CTTCTGCTTTTATGTACATAAACTGTATATATAGGGGGGAAAGTAGAAGTCATTTCTTCCTGGTATGAGACCTCCTATGTGTGCATGCCTGTGCACCCCAAACATTTATGGCCATAACAGGCCTGGCCCTGGATGTTCTGCCGCCCTAGGCGAGACAAAGAAATTGCCACCCCCCTCCTATCCCCGCTAAACTAGAATAGTGTACAGCAGGGGTCGACAATAGGTTTGGCCTTGGGCCAATTATTTTCTCAGCTAATAGTCGGCAGAACAGAACATAATAGCAGCCCAATTCATAGGCCTATGCTACAGATTAAACACAATGTTTAACACATCTGGTTAGTAGGCTATATAATCAGTTCAATGTCAATAACATATCCTAATATTTTCAATCTGATTACGCTGATAAAATCACCAATGTCTCTAAATTCGTTTTTTTATATTTCTTTGTGCGTTGATCGGGAAAAACTGCTTGCAATCAAGAGAAAATGTAGCCCTGAAAATGGACAGAGAAATAGGCATATTTTGTTTGCAACGAAACGGTTGCTGTTCACAAATAATTAAATATTAGACATCCTTATGAATCTAAACATGGCACTTTCAAAAGTTACCTTTCCACCCAGACAGAGGCTTGACCGACGCAGAAAAATTTAATCTTCAACTGGCTACTCATCCGCTGCTTAACCCAACAATTGAAGTGCTTCCCTAAAAGCTGCCTGGGTTTAAACATACACTACCGGTCAAAACACCTACTCATTCAACGGTTTTTCTTTATTTTTACTATTTTCTACATTGTAGAATAATAGTGAAGACATCAAAACTATGAAATAACACATATGGAATCATGTAGTAACCAAATAAGTGTTAAAAGAATCAAAATATATTTTATATTTGAGATTCTTCAAATAGCCACCCTTTGCCTTGATGACAGCTTTGCACACTCTTGGCATTCTCTTAACCAGCTTCATGAGGTAGTCACCTGGAATGCATTTCAATTAACAGGTGTGCTTTCTTAAAAGTTAATTTGTGGAATTTCTTTCCTTCTTAATGCGTTTGAGCCGATCAGTTGTGTTGTGACATGGTGGGGGGGGGGGGTATACAGAAGATAGCCCTATTTGGTAAAAGACCAAGTCCATATTATGGCAAGAACAGCTCAAATAAGCAAAGAGAAACGACAGTCCATCATTACTTTAAGACATGAAGGTCAATCAATGCGGAACATTTCAAGAACTTTGAAGATTTCTTCAAGTGCAGTCACAAAAACCATCAAGCGCTATGATGAAACTGGCTCTCATGAGGACCGCCACAGGAATGGAAGACCCAGAGTTACTTCTGCTGCAGAGGATAAATTCATTAGAGTTACCAGCCTCAGAAATTGCAGCCCAAATAAATGCTTCACAGAGTTCAAGTAACAGACCCATCTCAACATCAATTGTTCAGAGGAGACAGGCCTGTGAATCAGGCCTTCATGGTCGAATTGCTGCAAAGAAACCACTACTAAAGGACACCAATAATAAGAAGAGACTTGCTTGTGCCTAGAAACACAAGCAATGGACATTAGACCAGTGGAAATGTGTCCTTTGGTCTGGAGTCCAAATTTGAGATTTTTTTGAGCCGCGGTGTGGGTGAACGGATGATCTCCACATGTGTATTTCCCACCGTAAAGCATGGAGGAGGAGGTGTTATGGTGTAGGGGTGCTTTGCTGGTGACACTGTCTGTGATGTATTTAGAATTCAAGGCACACTTAACCAGGATGGCTACCACAGAATTCTGCAGCGATGCGCCATCCCATCTGGTTTGGGCTTAGTGGGACTATCATTTGTTTTTCAACAGGACAATGACCCAACACACGTCCAGGCTGTATAAGGGCTATTTTACTAAGAAGGAGAGTGAAGGAGTGCTGCATCAGATGACCTGTGCTCCACAATCCCCCGACCTCAACCAAACTGAGATGGTTTGGGATGAGTCGGACCGCAGAGTGACGGAAAAGCAGCCAACAAGTGCTCAGCAAATGTGGGAACTCCTTCAAGACTGTTGGAAAAGCATTCCAGGTGACGCTGGTTGAATGAATGCCAAGACTGTGCAAAGCTGTCATCAAGGCAAAGGGTGGCTATTTGAAGAATCTCAAATATAAAATATATTTTGATTTGTTGAACACTTTTTTGGTTACTACATGATTGTGTTGTGAATGTGTTATTTCATAGTTTTGATGTCTTCCCTATTACTCTACAATGTAGAAAATAGTCAAAATAAAGAAAAACCCTTGAATGAGTAGGTGTTCTAAAACTTTTGACCGGTAGTGTATATTCTCTTTTCAGAAAATAAAAAGACAGAATAGCAAAGTCCATTTCTTGTCTCCTCCAATATTGAAGGCCACAGCTCAGCTTCAGAATGTCATAGAGATTAATCAATATATCCCCATATGCATCAGTCACGTCTTTTGTGGGCATTTTTAGGCTTGTATCTGGATACCATTATGTATTTATTTCAGAATATAAAGCTAACAATAGGTATCCTTTTTGCCCTTTTCTTAAACAAAGGGTATGGCGTACCCTCACTTAATGTGAGCCCTGGTTTTAACCCAATCCACCAAGCCCTTCCCAGACACAGAGGTATGTTAAGGAGTGCATGGTGACAGTATTGGAGGATTTGTCTATACCGACAAATCTATGGATAGTATAATTGCATCTGTCAAACAGGTAGGCCTACCTCTTATTTTTTTTAAATAGGAAGAAATAGGCTACAACAAAGCCCTGTTGTTTGTGAAGTCGAATTCATATGAAGACAATTGTTGAAGGGAATTGCTTTCAGCACCATTTGCTGTCCACCTCTGTTTGATTATGCCGCAGCCGCTCCAAAGCTGATGTCTGCCCGCTTGCCTTTTTAGTTGACTTTCTCCTGCACTCTCTCCTCATTAATATATTAATGATTGAACAAGTGTCTGTCTCATGACAATGTAATACATTTGGTCTCCAGTTTATGGGCTACAGAAAAACCACATAGGCTACTACTTTTTCTACCATAGGCTACTACTTTTTCTACCATAGGCTACATCATTTATGTTAACGTATTTGATGGAGCGCCGCAGCACCCTGGAGAGACGCGCTGGGCATGGGCAAGCTAAATGTTTTGCACCCCTGCCTTTGGCAAAGTGGGCTCTGCTTATCTTGGGGGCAGCATCAGCCCTCATGTCACTAGGTGAGAGAAGTTCATTGTTTTTGTGCAGCATAATGTGAGGTGTTATGTCTTGTTGGAGGTGTGTCTTTGTCAGTTTAGCTCGGAAAATGCCACCCTGAGCTGCCAAATACTGTCTAAGGGGCGGACCGGCTGTGGGGCCTAATCATAGAATTATATTTAGAATCCCTATTAATTCAATAGCATTTCTGTGGGCCTAGTCATAAAGATTTGTCATTTAACTTTTTATTGTGGTATGAACACAACCTGTCATGATGTTTTCATCTGCTTGTCAAACAGTCACTTCAAAGGGCTCCTTTACTAGGCTATCCACACACGTTCATCCACTCACAACATATTTCCGTCCTCCAAACAGTTGTGAATGGAAAGAGACATCTGTTACACAAAACACCAAAAAGTGTCATGACATTTGGTGATTGTCATTAGGCGAGAATGAATGCCTCCATCTCAGCAAATGTCAGTGTTCTCGTCGAACCACATTGCATTTGTATATATTCCCTGGTGGTCAGTCACCCACAGTGAACCCTATGTAGTTTAGCTGTCTGAGGTTAGGCTGCTACTGTACTGTGTTTCTAAGGTCTGCAGCTTAGGCAGGCTTTTCTCAATGTCAGAGAAAAGATGGTCATGTTTTTAAAGAGCTGATACATCTCAACAGTGATTGTACTGGATACAGTAGTTTTGTTTAGCCTTTCCCCCACTTACTCCCTATTACCTCGTAGCCTGTGAAGGAATAGGAAGTCAAGAGGACTGTTTGGATCATTTGTCTGGCTTTTCTTTTTGCCTTCAAGTAAACAGAAAATTCAACTGTTTGTCCTTTTGTTCTGTGGTGCAGTCGTTTGCAACTATGGTGCAGTCGTTATAGGCCTAACTGTCAGTGAAGTGAAACCTAGGCCGATGTGCTGAGAGTGGGAGTGAAATGGCCTAGTCAATTAAGTATTAATAAACTCCTGCATTGAACTCCATAAAACGATACGCTCAATGTTCGTTCAGCAGGGATGTTTTTGTAAACTCTGCATGATGCATAATGCACGACTTAACCAACAATATTGTTCTGATCCTGAATGAAATTGACAATGCCTCATTTAATGTGATTTTGCCCCAATCGTTTTAACTAATAGTTATAATTTCAGAATGCAATTAGCAGCAGAGGGCCAGCTAATGGTGTGTATGATTAATCAAAAGGAGTTATCACTCCCACTCTCCTAATAATAATAATAATAGTTTTATAGCACTTTTCATAACAGAAAGAAATATCAAAGCACTTCAGAAGCAACAAAAAAAATCTAGCAATAGGCTATGTCATGAGTAGCCTAGCTATAGTTAGCTAGGTCAACCAAAAGAGGCCAAGTCTTTGAGTGCATGTATCCTCCAAAGATGGAAAGAGTCAGTTCATGGCTTGATCAGATGAAGGTAGAGGGAGCTGGTTGATGGAATCTGGTGATGATCTTGTAGAGGGTCATGTACAGTAAGCCTTTGAGTTCTCCTCCTTCACAATGTGTGGCACCCACTTGGGTGATTCCTCAGCAGCTCTAATAGGCGCAAAATAAAACCTTTATCTTCAACATCAGGCCAAACTTCTCTCATAATAATTAGTTCTATTCATCCCGTAAAGTTACTAATTTATCGTCAAAGGAACTGTTACAAAGATACAATTAATCATTTTTGGAATAAGTTGTTGACGGTCTCTTTAGGATACGACTTAGTTTTGCCATTAATGGCATCCCATCTTGAAGTACATTTTGATGTGATTCTGAGTCAATCAAAAAGGTAGGCCTAGGTTTATATAAAAAAGAAGATTAGTAAACAAATGTGCCCTTGGAAATTATCAGTCAGCATTTTTGCCCCACTAAAGTCCTATCTAGCATATCTCAAGACGGGATGTGTCACAAACACAATTACCTCAACACTGCCACATCGTCAACCTATTGACACTTATTTTCAGCTTTTGTTGAAACAATAACTCATCTTTTTTGCATTGCAGCATCTTTGTGCTGTCACAGCATTTGAACATATCTAGAGCATTCAGCAGTTCAGTCTCTTTTTTTGGGATTGACAGTATGTTTGGATTGACAATAAGTGACACACTGTCAATGAACATGGGCAAGTGGGGGAGGGATTTTAGCTAAATGTGCAAACAATATTCAGAGTAATTGATGAGTTGAATTAAATCTATTTTTATGGGTTTTTGTGTTGCAGTACACTCGGGTGTGGATCCCAGACCCAGAGGATGTATGGAGAGCTGCAGAGATCATCAAGGACTACAAGGAGGGAGAGCCCATCCTGCACCTCAAACTTGAAGATGAATCGGTAATCTGCCCACCCACTGGATCAGGCCACATTTATAAGATAAATAGTTTTATTTTTATTTTTTATATAGCCCTTGAGGACTCAATATGCTTTGGTCTATTTTGTCGTGCTGATGTACATTTGCACAGGTCCTCATTTAAAGCAGTTAATGTATGTGCACACCCACGCACATTAGATATTTTGGTGCCATGAATCGTTAATCGTATTTTTTGAAGTGAGAAATGCAAGCACTGAGAGTTCACGATACAGTTATTAAATAACAATGCACTGTGCCAAGAGTAGTTTGAATAAATCAGCAGATGATGATATTATTATTTCACTTTCTGCAGCAGCAGTATATTCCCCTACATACCTACTCATGATCACAATCTCTATTTGATACTACCCACAGGGTGGGCTTGTCAGGTATGATTCATACACACCTAGATGCCATCAAATCCATATTCTTTAACATAAGTAGTTATGGACAGTGCTGCAATATGATTTCAACTGATAAAGGGTGTAATCATACCATCAAAACAGGTGCACATGTGCAAAGACTTGGCTTTAATAATTTATTTTTGTATTTACATTTTTGCTTGAACCTCTTCTGTCCCAGCTGTTGGAATACCGCATCGGACTCAAAGACAACCCTCTTCCCTTCCTCCGGAACCCAGATATCCTGGTGGGGGAGAATGACCTCACAGCGCTCAGCTACCTTCACGAGCCTGCTGTCCTGCACAACCTCAAAGTGCGCTTCCTCGAGCCCAACCACATCTACACATACTGTGGTGAGTCTCTATACTGTACCACCTGCTCTGACAGTGCCACTTACAGTAAACAGATTCAGTCTGGTCTGTATAGCGTCTCTTAGCAAAGCCCTTGGTCTAACCTTGTGCTGCAAATTCCTCTGTTTACTAGGGTAGCTGGTTTATTTTACACCATTTAGTGTCAAGGCTTTCATTTACCTTAATGGTTGGCTTGTCCCAACTTTTACAAACCTGTCCTCCCAATTCTCCAATCAGCTAGGGTTCCATTGACTTAAGCAGCCAATGAGTGAGCTGTTGCCATGTGTGGAATGCGCCCTAAACAAAGCAGACAAAGGGGAATGGGAAAAGACAATATTTGTCTGTTGATCCTACGCTGGCCATAGATATCACCATCATGTTTTAATTAGGGAAATCTGTCCCCATAGTAACCCTGCCAATGCTACATTCCTCTGGTCATCTGGATGTTGTGATATGTTTTGATAGTATTTTCCTATCAAAGGTAGTAGGAAAAATACAAATGGCTGTTAACAATGTGTTTTTACCCACAATAGCATATTGTACTGTACTGTATGATAGGATTATCTAATTGTTATTATTATTATCTGTGATACAGTGGGGGAAAAAAGTATTTAGTCAGCCACCAATTGTGCAAGTTCTCCCACTTAAAAAGATGAGAGAGGCCTGTAATTTTCATCATAGGTACACGTCAACTATGACAGACAAATTGAGAATTTTTTTTCCAGAAAATCACATTGTAGGATTTCTTATGAATTTATTTGCAAATTATGGTGGAAAATAAGTATTTGGTCACCTACAAACAAGCAAGATTTCTGGCTCTCACAGACCTGTAACTTCTTCTTTAAGAGGCTCCTCTGTCCTCCACTCGTTACCTGTATTAATGGCACCTGTTTGAACTTGTTATCAGTATAAAAGACACCTGTCCACAACCTCAAACAGTCACACTCCAAACTCCACTATGGCCAAGACCAAAGAGCTGTCAAAGGACACCAGAAACAAAATTGTAGACCTGCACCAGGCTGGGAAGACTGAATCTGCAATAGGTAAGCAGCTTGGTTTGAAGAAATCAACTGTGGGAGCAATTATTAGGAAATGGAAGACATACAAGAACACTGATAATCTCCCTCGATCTGGGGTTCCACGCAAGATCTCACCCCGTGGGGTCAAAATGATCACAAGAACGGTGAGCAAAAATCCCAGAACCACACGGGGGGACCTAGTGAATGACCTGCAGAGAGCTGGGACCAAAGTAACAAAGCCTACCATCAGTAACACACTACGCCGCCAGGGACTCAAATCCTGCAGTGCCAGACGTGTCCCCCAGAAGAGGATTGGGAGAATGTCATATGGTCAGATGAAACCAAAATAGAACTTTTTGGTAAAAACTCAACTCGTCGTGTTTGGAGGACAAAGAATGCTGAGTTGCATCCAAAGAACACCATACCTACTGTGAAGCATGGGGGTGGAAACATCATGCTTTGGCGCTGTTTTTCTGCAAAGGGACCAGGACGACTGATCCGTGTAAAGGAAAGAATGAATGGGGCCATGTATCGTGAGATTTTGATTGAAAACCTCCTTCCATCAGCAAGGGCATTGAAGATGAAACGTGGCTGGGTCTTTCAGCATGACAATGATCCCAAACACACCGCCCGGGCAACGAAGGAGTGCCTTCGTAAGAATCATTTCAAGGTCCTGGAGTGGCCTAGCCAGTCTCCAGATCTCAACCCCATAGAAAATCTTTGGAGGGAGTTGAAAGTCCGTGTTGCCCAGCGACAGCCCCAAAACATCACTGCTCTAGAGGAGATCTGCATGGAGGAATGGGCCAAAATACCAGAAACAGTGTGTGAAAACCTTGTGAAGACTTACAGAAAACGTTTGACCTGTGTCATTGCCAACAAAGGGTATATAACAAAGTATTGAGAAACTTTTGTTATTGACCAAATACTTATTTTCCACCATAATTTGCAAATAAATTCATTAAAAATCCTACAATGTGATTTTCTGGAATTTTTTTCTCATTTTGTCTGTCATAGTTGACGTGTACCTATGATGAAAATTACAGGCCTCTCTCATCTTTTTAAGTGGGAGAACTTGCACAATTGGTGGCTGACTAAATACTTTTTTTCCCCCACTGTATGTGGTTGTCCCACCTAACTATCTTAAGATGAATGCACTAACTGTAAGTCACTCTGGATAAGAGCGTCTGCTAAATGACTAAAATGTAAATGTAAAAATGATTAGCTAACTTAACAAGAAGATTAGTTTATTGTCTATTGTCACAGGACAGAGATGTCTTTTTTCTTTATTCCAATAGCAACGGTCATTAAAATTGTTAAAAGTAAAAAAAAAAAACTATTATAATAAATGAAACAATGGATGAAGATAATCCAAACTTTTTGATTTTTTAAAGAAATCAATTAGATATTGACTGAATTATAGCACATAAAACATTGTACTGGCACATACAATTAATGGAGTTAAGGTATTTTGGTGGGAATTCAGGTATTTACCTTCTTACACTGCACTCATAAATCTTCTTAGTATATCAGGTATTTCTGAAATATTTTGTGAAAATATGTGCCTAATTTACATATATACAGTACACGGGTGTATTTGCATTCATGAAGAAATTAATATAAAGGGGTGGAACAGGGCTGCAACCACCAAAAACATGCTCTGTCTCTAGGTTATTCGTTACTGTTGTTGTCACCTTAATTCGACAAGTGTGTCAAGAGAAGGATAACCATGCGATTAAAACTCTACACGCTTGGCTCTTGATTACACCCATCTAAACATATTTTACATTGTTTGCGAGATCAGACATAATATCACTAATCCAAGTGTTCATTTTCAGAAGTTGCTTTCATTTCAGCGCATCTAATTTGGAAATATTTCAACTGTATTAAATCATAACTTTTTTCAAATTGCACAAAAAACTAACACCCATCAAAATAAAGTTATCTTTCTTGTGATGTAACTGTCAAAGATGGTGCGTTAAATCCCTGACGAAGCGTTCATATAGATGCAATGGAAAGCCAATGTATTCCGTTGAGCCCATTTCAGCCATTACCGGAGTGTGTTTTACAGGTCATTACAAACGTTTCCGCGGTCGTTACGTTAACGGGAAAAAACAAATGGCACAAGCAATAGTGGGAAAGAGTCCCCAGTAAAAATGAAAGCAATAAATCCTGCAAGATTTAAGTGACTGTGATGTACTCTTCAAACACAGGAAATAGATGGCTAAGATCCTCAGCTGGGTGGGGCATGCTCGTTGCTAATTCCAACCCCCGAAGACACAAATACACACCCACAAGAATATATGGGATGTATTACTAAATATAGGTTTAAGTAACTACCGCTTACAGTCTCACTGACTGGCCATACTATTTCCTCTGTCCTCCCTTTCCTCCATCACTCCCTCCTCTATAGGTATCGTACTGGTGGCCATCAACCCCTATGACCAGCTGCAGATCTATGGAGAGGAGGTCATCAATGCCTACAGTGGGCAGAACATGGGGGACATGGACCCACACATCTTTGCTGTTGCTGAGGAAGCATACAAGCAGATGGCCAGGTATTGGACGAGCCTCTGGGTACAGCTAAATGGGTATAACACAGGATCAGGATACTGTTAATGTTTTAGACCTGGAAGAGTTGCCAATTAATAACCAAATTCTATGTATTAGTCTGCTTTGGGAAGCAATTGAGTTGTTACTGTGTGGCACATGGAGCTACATAGCAAGCAGTTGATTAGACTCCTCATTCAGTTTGAAATGTCATTTGATAGTGTGTGGTTCAGTTGGTAGAGCATGGCGCTCGCAATGCCAGTGTTGTGGGTTCAATTCCCATGGGGGACCAGTCTGAAAACAAGTATGAAAATGTATGCACTCGCTAATGTAAGTCGCTCTTGACAAGCACGTCTGCTAAATGACTAAAATGTAAAAAATGTAAGTAGTGTTGGTGTGGGACTGAGGGCATAAATAATGAGTTGCCACAGAGATAAACAGAGTGTCTTCAATTGAAGATGTGGGTGGATAATAACAGTGCTCAGGTCCACATTAACTGTCAACCTCCTCAATGCTGCTTTTCTCTGAAAAGCAAAAGACAATAAATGCCATGTCCACTGCCTACGTACTGTGCATTCCCACTGCTGGGTAGTCCTGGCAACTCCAGTCATGTACAGTAAATTAGCATTGTGTAACTGTAGACGTGATCCATTAATGCAGCTCTGGTCAGTACCTCTTTTTAAATGTTCCAAATGTCTTTCTCTCTCCTCTTTTTCTTTTTCTGTAGAGATGAGAGGAACCAATCCATCATAGTAAGTGGGGAGTCGGGGGCAGGGAAGACTGTCTCTGCTAAGTACGCCATGCGGTTCTTCGCCACTGTGGGAGGGTCGGCCAACGACACCAACGTTGAGGAGAAGGTGCTGGCCTCCAGCCCCATCATGGAGGTGAGGAGGGGAACTGGGGATGGGTTGATGATCCCATACTGTAGGCCAGCAGTGTGGCATCATAGTAAGAGAAGTCGATCCGGGAATAAATGGGTTACATAATATGATTTGTGCCTTTGGAGATAACACAAGTATCTTCTGGACAACCAAGTAATACTTTATTTACCTGCTTAGATGGGTTCTTGTGAAAACGTAATCGTTTTTCTGTGCCCTGAAAGTTTTATGAACTCCACATCTTCAGCTGTAACTTTGTAGAGTTTACAGCACAGTATTCTTATGGGGAATCATTTTGTAAGCTGTAGGTGAAGAAGCTAAGCACACCAGGAGTCCATTACCCTCTCACATACTGAACCAGCAGAAACCTGGAACAGCAAAGTCCCTCAGAATGCCTGGAAAGATAAGACCAGGAGAAGCTGCTAGCTAGAAAATTCTCCTTACTTTCTGTCCTTCAGGAAGTTATAGCTGAGGAAAGTCAGACATCCATTACCAGCCTCACCTCAGCTAGAGAGTGAAGAAACAGGACAGATTTGTATGCAAGGCCAGTTGGGCACAGGCCCCATCTTGGCAGATGACACAGCTCAAAATTAGGACCGTTTCAACTGTCAAAGTACATTACGAGCAGGAAGGAGAATCAAATGTTTTTTTGTGTGGCATGAATTACAATTTCCGAGGATATAAATATATTTTACAGTGGTTATGATTTTCTTTTGATCTCTGAAATTCTCACACTTTTCTCCACCCCCCTGCTTCTCTTTTCAGGCTATTGGAAATGCGAAAACCACTCGCAATGACAACAGCAGTCGTTTTGGGAAGTACATCCAGATTGGTTTTGACAGGCGTTATCACATCATAGGTGCCAACATGCGCACGTATCTGCTGGAGAAGTCAAGGGTAGTCTTTCAGGTACGTGTAACTCCATGCTGCGCAGTCTGGGATGAAACTCTGTATTCCTACTTACTAAGTCCATGCTTCCCTTCACATTTACTTTCCTTCATTTAAACAAGCATTTGATTAGGACCTAACTTGACATCAAATATCATAATAAATGTATCTAAGTACTTTAAAGAAATGAATACAATATTAAATTGCAGCCTGGGGGAACTCCTGATCTAACAAAACTACCCAAGTCTTTCATTCATCAGAATATATTATTGATAAAGAGTTAAGTGATATAATTTCTGTAGTATATTTCTACTTTTTAGGCTGAGGATGAGAGGAATTACCACATCTTCTACCAGCTGTGTGCCTCCACTAGCTTACCGGAGTTCAAAGACCTAGCCTTGAGTAAGTGTCACAGACCAAGACAATATTCAACTACGTTTATGTTAAGGAAGCAACTGCATTTTAACTACATAATAACTACAATCATTATTTTTATGTCATGTTTACTAGAGCATAGTTCTTCAAACTACATTCAGAGAATAGTATGTGTCGTCTGCCAGGACGTTCAAATAAGAACACTTTTCTAATACATTTATTTCCATCTCTGCTTTCATCTTAAAGCCAGTGCAGAAGAATTCATCTTCACATCGCAAGGAGAGAACATCTTCATTGAGGGGGTGAATGATGCTGAGGACTTCAAGAAGACGAGAGAAGCCTTTACACTACTGGGTAAGGGTCTGACTGCATGGGTACATTCTAAGATGCTAACACCGCTATATTAGAACAGGCTCAGAACAAAGGGTTTATGTATCTTGGACATAAAGACTGACTGAAAACAAAAGACAAATAGAAACATGTTATTTTTCTATCTCCCGATGGAACAACATTTACCTTACTGTGGTTGTTTTTGCAGGTGTTAAGGAGAGCAATCAAAGCAGCATCTTCAGAATCATAGCTTCCATCCTGCATCTGGGAAACGTGGAGATCTGCTCGGAGAGAGACGGAGACTCCTGCCACATATCAGTATGTCACTGTCCAGCTTAATTCTGTTTGAGTTTATAGTTCCACATCACAGCCTCAAACCGTATATCTTCTCTATACCGCATACCTCATTTATTGATTCAATCTATGTATGTTTGTCTGTGTTTGTAGAGAAACGACCCTCACTTGACGCACTTCTGCCGGTTGCTGGGGGTAGAGCTGGAGCAGATGGAACACTGGCTATGTCACAGGAAGCTGGTCACCACGTCAGAGACCTACGTCAAGAACATGTCCCGCAAACAGGCGGCTAACGCCCGCGACGCGCTCGCCAAACACATCTACGCACACATGTTTGACTGGATTGTGGAACACGTCAACAAGTCTCTGCACACCTCCTCCAAACAACACTCCTTCATCGGTGTTCTGGATATCTACGGGTAAGACTACCCACCTGTGCTCCCCAGAACCTCTGAAAACAAAGCTCAACAGTGGGTTGGTTTGGATTGTGAGAGAAACTTGACTCTGTGGTGAGAACCGATTTTCTTGCCAGCGACAGAAGTCTTATTTCAGGAGTGAAATCTCAGCCATGGTGAATGTTAAAAGCATCCCAGGCTGGCAGTAAGTTAACACACTGTGACAGCAGGCACACAGAAGAACATCAGCCCCACATTTCTCATTTTCCCTCGCAGTTCTGTCACACAATGTTTTCTGTAGTAAGGCACGGAGAAGCTTGATATTTGATGAGTAGATTTCATAACTACTCTTTATCTGTGCCCTCCAGTCTGGAGACACGCGTCTGTGTGTGTGAGCGCCATGCGTCTCTCCAGCTAAATACCTCCATCCCCAGTGTTTTAAGTGCCTCTTCTCATTACAGTATATAGAGGATGGAACCAAATTGAATTGGGGGAGCTATGCTTTTCCTCTTCTTGACCCTGTTTGACTGAGGGCTTAATTTGTTCCCTGCTGTGGGTTAGATTATTGATAAAGCTGGCTGCCTGACCTGGCGCTGGGAGGGGCAAGATGCTGAGCTACAGTAGAAAGCCCAAATAATAAGACATTCAGCATGGGGGCATTTGTAACTTGAGTCTGATAATTATCTGTACAAAACAGTTCATCTGATAATACTTGTGGAATATAAAAATACTTGCTTGATATACTGTATGTTTTCAAGTTTCTTGAAATACTTTGCAAACGCAACTTATTTCTATGACCTGAAATGGTCTATTCATTCCTTTTCCGTTTTAGTAGACACTCTTATACAGACCAACTTACAGTAGTGAGTGCATACATTTTCATACTATTTCGTACTGGTCCCCTGTGGGAATCGAACCCACAACCCTAGCATTGCAAGCGCCATGGTCTACCAACTGAGCCACATCATCACATCACATCAATGTACTCAATTACTGTATTGTGCATTGTTTTTCTTCATGGTGATGGAAAGTCTACAGGTACAAACCTAGATGACCAGCCTATGTACAATACAGTAATTTACATTTACATTAAGTGGTTTGTAAGGATGGTACATTAATACTGCACAAAAAGTGATTGTTTTCCATGTTATTTGATCAAGAAAAATATTTAATTTGATGTGGATGTTTTGTGTCTTTGCCCATAACTTTGCACCTTTTGATGTAAATGTTTGAGGACATGGTTTTGTTCTTTCTGGATTCCATTAGAATGACAATTGCAGAGAAAGGATCAGGGCAACAACTCTTAAAATTCCAACTATTGAATCCTGCAAGATACTGTTCTTAATTATACAACTACCGTTTTTGCCAAAGCGGAGATGCTGAAAAAAAGGTTTTGCCCGCGCTGTCGGTCTGCTAATACTAGTAAAGTCATAGTGCACCATTGTTTTTGTATCGTTTTTTATTTTATTCCGATTTTTCAGGGGTGCTGCAGCACCCCTACGTCCCTCGGCTAGGCAGCAGGGGTGGCAAACTTATTCCACGGAGGGCCTAGTTTCTACAGTTTAAAAAAAGTCCTAGACAACCAGGTGAGGGGAGTTGTTTACTAATTAGTGACCTTAATTTATCAATCAAGTACAAGGGAGGAGTGAAAACACGCAGACACTCGACACTCCGTGGAATGAGTTTGACACGTGATCTACAGTGTGCTCCAAAAGTATTGGGACATTTGACATTTTTTGTTGTTGTTTTGGCTCTGTACTCCAGCACTTTTGAAATTTGAAATGGTACAATGACTATGAGGTTAAAGTGTAGACTGTCAGCTTAGGGTATTTTCAAATTGGGTGAACCGTTTAGAAATTACTGACATTTTGTACATAGTTCCCCCATTTTAGGGGCCCAAAAGTATTGGGACAAATTCACTTACATGTTTATTAAAGTAGTAGAAAGTTAAGTATTTGGTCCCATATTCATAGCATGCAATGACTACATCAAGCTTGTGGCTCTACAAATGTGTTGGATGCATTTGCTCTTTGATTTGGGTGTGTTTCAGATTATTTTGTGTCCAATATAAATTAATGGTAAATTATGTTTTGTGTAATTTTGGAGTCACTTTTATTGTAAATAAGAATATAATATGTCTCTAAACACTTCTACATTAATATGGATGCTACCATGATTACGGATAATCCTGAATGAATTGTGAATAATGACGAGTGAGAAAGTTACAGATGCACAAATATCATACCCCCAAGACATGCTAACCTCTCACCATTACAATAACAGGGGAGGTTGGCATTTTTTGGGGTATGATATTTGTGCATCTGTAACTTTCTCACTCATCATTATTCACGATTCATTCAGGATTATCAGTAATCATTGTAGCATCCACATTAATGTAGAAGTGTTTAAAAACATATCTTCTCATTTACAATAAAAGTGACTCCAAAATGACACAATCCATTATTTATCATTTACCGTAGTTTTCCTCTAGGCCTGGAATCACTGTCTAAAACACAGAACGAAAATAGACCAGAGACTTCAGACTCACTAAATATGTGAATGTTTTCTCTTCATCTGAACAGATTTGAGACCTTTGAGATAAACAGCTTCGAGCAGTTCTGCATCAACTACGCCAATGAGAAACTGCAGCAGCAGTTCAATCAAGTGAGTTTAAGTCTTATATTTATAATATACACTGAGTGCACAAAACATTAAGAACACCTGCTCTTTCCATGACAGACTGACCAGGTGAATCCAGGTGAAAGATAGGATCCCTTATTGATGTCACCTGTTAAATCCACTTCAATCAGTGTAGATGAAGGGGAGGAGACAGGTTAAACAAGGGTTTTTAAGCCTTTAGACAATTGAGACATGGATTGTGTATGTGTGCCATTCAGAGGGTGAATGGGCAAGACAAAATATTTAAGTGCCTTTTGAACGGGGTATGGTAGTAGGTGCCAGGCCCACTGGTGTGAGTGTGTTAAGAACTGCAACACTGCTGGGTTTTTCACGCTCAACAGCTTCCAGTGTGTATAAAAAATGGTCCACCACCCAAAGGATATCCAGCCAACTTGACACAACTGTTGAAAGCATTGGAGTCAACATGGGCCTTGTAGAGTCCATGCCCTGACGAATTGAGGCAGTTCTGAGGGCAAAAGGGGGTGCAACTCAATATTAGAAAGGCGTTCCTAATGTTTGTACACTCCGTGTAGCTACCTACCTTAAATTCCAATGTTCTGTAGAGGAGACATGAGAACCTCTAGCTGTTAACCTCATGACTCAACATAAATGTTTTCAAGTGAAATAATTCATGACTTAGTCTAACGGATAACCTGCTGTGCTGTAGCTCACTGTGTGTCTGTCTCCTCTGTGTGTCCTCAGCATGTGTTCAAGCTGGAGCAGGAGGAGTACATGAAGGAGCAGATCCCCTGGACACTCATCGACTTCTATGACAACCAGCCGTGTATCGACCTCATAGAGGCCAAGCTGGGCATCCTGGACCTGCTGGATGAGGAATGCAAGGTGGAGCACCTGGTCTTACATACATAATGTCTTCGTCCTTAGTCCTCAATTCTGTCTTTACTCCAGAGCTCCAGTAGTTCTTAACTCCTGTTTTTGGGATGCATTTGTGGGCAAGTGTATATGGACGATTGGCTACGGGAGGAGTTTTAGTACTTAATGCACTTGAGCCATTACAGTTGTTGAACAGTCTTCTGTGTTTTGGTCTGGAGGGAGCAGACCAAAACATTTTAAACCTCTGCATTTTAAACCTCTGGTCTCAGTTAATGGGATTCGTCCTGCATTCATACGTACAAAGCGTGGCCTGCGTCTATTTCCCCTGCCTGTATCCAGATCATTATCTGAGTTAAGGACTTTGGAACAAAACAGATTACTTATTTATTTCACTCATCCTGTCTCATCCCACAGCCCTTTGAAGTTATGGACGATCATTTGGAACAACCTCAAAATAATTGTTATTCTGAGCACAGCTAGCCTGGATAGAAAGTTTTGGTTTCCTTCATGGTTTTATATAATATCTCCCCCTTCTTCCCCTCCACCTGCTGCTGCTACAGGTGCCAAAAGGGACGGATCAGAATTGGTGCCAGAAGCTGTACGATCGCCTTTCAAGCAGCGTCCATTTCCAGAAACCCCGGATGTCCAACATATCTTTCATTATCATTCACTTTGCTGATAAGGTGGGTAGACCCAGCCTAGAGACAACATGTTTCAAATGAAAAGCACCTGTACGTATGGCTCTTCAGTTAAGTGAAAATGTACCCAATGCTAGGTTGTTGGTTCAAATGTCATTTTGGGGGGGGGGGGGGGGGGGGGGGGGGGGGGGGAATCCTATTGTTACAGTCCTTAAGCAAGGTCATGTGTTTAAACCTAACTGCTTCAGTATACCTGGCTGAATAATTAGGACCATCTACAAATTGTGCTATTCAAAGGACTTTAAGGACATGACATGAATCACCCTCATTGCAGGGGCTTTGCCTGAAAAGAGCCAATGTGATTATCCCATGATGACTCATCAGATGCTTTGTGTGTTAGTATTATTGTGAGTGATCTCAATGGCCCTGCAATGTCTCCCCTCCTCCTTATGACACATACACAAGCTCTAATTAACTCAAAGAGCAGCACTCCTACTTCAAGGAGCTGGCACTAACTAGAACTTTCCCCCAGTGAAAGGACTGCCTGTGTGTCTGATGCCTGATGTGGGTCATGTAAACAGATGAAAGGCAGGCTGCTGTAGCAATGTCATTTATTTACTATGGTAATTTCCATGAAAAACAAGGGATGCGAGAGTCCTGTTAATGTCAATAGGATTTCCCCAGCTCTCCTCTGTGAAGATGGTATTAAACCGATTCCCTTGGGGTGTTTCTCTTTGTCTAACTCGTCAAGTGAAAAGGTGTAGGATCTGCGTTCACTCACTGTTCTTCCTCTCTCGCGCCCTTGTTCAACGAGAACAGCCTGCAACCCTATCTGTGAGAAAGAGGAGAGAGCAGGGGTAAAGTGTCACACCAGACTGGCCTGGAGGCTAGGGCTGCTGATGGACAGACAAAATGGAAGGACGGGAGACTGACTGAGAGGGATTTCCTTCCTATCAATACCTGCACTCATTTCCCCATGTTATTTTACATCTGACTGGATGCTTTTATAGGTTTACAGAATGTTAGCTAACCTGGCTCATCCTTTTTTTCGTGCTCAGTAAATGCTTCTGTTTAAACTGCTACATACTTTAAATTATTCAATGTACAGCTGGATGTTTAGTTACGGTGACTGTAAGTGCATTGCTGCGGGACACAACAGCAGGACTGTATGGGCCACTTGGGATTTGAACAGACAACCCTCAGTGTCCCTATTGTACATAATTACCATAGTTGATTAAATGTTTGCTAATTTAGTTGTCAGTGTATTTGGCTGTAAATTGCTGCTGGTGCAGTCCATTATATCTACCTCTGTTCCCCCCTTGGCAGGTTGAGTACCAGTGTGATGGCTTCCTGGAGAAGAACAGAGACACCGTCTACGAGGAACACATCAACATTCTGAAGGCCAGCAAGGTGAGAGAGAATAATGTCATTAGACCACTACCACAATGACACAATCATTTAAAATAATCTAGTGGACACTTCAACTCACACTGAACAACACACTCTGCCCACTTAACTGCAGAAAGCTTGTCACAAAGAATTCTATTTTTAAGCTCTAACTAATTTAACCTTTGGTTTTTACTGAGTTTATTTACATTTACATTTTAGTCATTTAGCAGACGCTCTTATCCAGAGCGACTTACAGTTTATAGTGAGTGCATACATTTTTATGGACTTCTTTCTTGGAAAAGCTGCACCGTAAAGCTTTTACCAAATTAGTTTACTGCTGAAAGAGCCTTCAGTTTTGGGACAGAGTGCAATGACGCAAGAAAGTAACACGATTTAGAAAGTGGCAAGTTGGAAGCATTTCACAGGTTCCTATGATGGGAAGTATAGCTCCTATTAGATAGAGTTGTTGTTTAAAGCCAGGCTGACAACTTGACAACACTTCATATTAACCCTACAGTTTAAATCCTGCTTTACATTCTCATTTGAAATACATTGAACGTCAATTAAGAAGTCATATCAAAATTCGACTATATTGCAGATGAATTGTCACAATCACAACAAACACACACACACACTTTCTGTAGACTCCCTGACTCCTACCTCTCCAAGCCAAACTCAAACTGCTTGATTGGAACCTCACTTCAGCTCATGTTCTCTGCATTATCTTTTTAACTGATTAAGTGATGAGAGCCACAAGTGCATTGGCTTTGTCAGTCATTTCAGTTCAGTTCATTTCAACCTTCACACCCTCTCTGCCACTCTCTTTGGGACAAATACCAACTTTAGTTCATTTCATATCACATTAGGATTCAGGAATTTCTCTTTCTACCATCTTGTCTCCCTCTCGCCAAAATCCTCTCCTCAGCATTACTAATGCAACAGCCATTAAGAGCGTGCAAATGAGAAGGAATATTGAGAGGCAAGGAGAGATTTCATAATTTATGTTCTGTCTAAAAGCATCTCGTCAGTGGCAAAAATCCATTTACTATCAGAAAGACACCAAGCTCCATTGAACAGCACAAATAAATATCAGAATGATTGAATAGAATCAATACATTTCAGATGCAGTAAGGCAGGGTTTCCAAAACTCGGTCTTCGGGACCCCAAGGGTTTTTGCCCTAGCGCTACACAGCTGATTCAAATAATCAACTAATCAACAAGCTTTGATCATTTGAATCAGCTGTGTGTGCACCTCTTGGGATCCCGAGGACCAAGTTTAGGAAACGCTGCGGTAAGGTTTCCTAAACAAAAGCAGTGATAAAGACATAACATGTCCACCCCTGGTGATGGCAGTCTCAATATTGTACAATATCCTGTACTGCATTTCTCTGTCTCTGTATCTCTCTTCCACTTCCTTTCTAGAGTCAGTTTTGCACAGTAATTTACTCTGAGAACTTGGCAAGAGGCCCAAGCTTGTTTAAACCCCCTCATATCTAGGTGACAGTGGCGCAGAAATCTGTCAACATTGGGGAGCCTTGGAGGACATGTGAAGGTCATGAAACCTCCTCCAGCTGATAAGTCTTTTCTCAATGGACCATTACTGTCATCTCTCACAGCCTGAAAGCCCTGCTAACTCTGGAGGTACCTGAGCTGTACCCCAAGCCAGAGGTGGTGGATGGATCAAGGAACGTCTATGAATCTTCATAGAGGGACCATAAATCCAATCCTGCTTGCAGAGCTTATTCTTTGCAAAGTTATAAAGGAAACATTTTCCAAAAGAAAGTTCATGTTCATGTCAGAATACTTTTCGCAAGTTTGGCATGAGAGAATAGTTATTAGTATGGATGGTGGGACTGCACTGCACTGAATTAGTACTGTCTAACCACACAAGCCTTATCTGTGACGGAGATATTATTTTGCCATTATCAGTATTCCCTCTGCATCCACCACAAGTACAAGGATGCTGCTGCTTGACACTCAGATTGTTCCCCTTCACTGGTTCTGCTGAGGAGATGTGACTACAGAACGCTCCTGACTGAAGCCTAAATGCTGGTTTATTGACGTCCTGTCCAGTTTTTCATTTCTGTAGTATCACCAGTGTTATTTATAATAACATCAGCCATTTCACTGGATCCTACAGTATAGGACTATGTACAAATATTTCTCATGAAAATGATTTTTATGGAATTCCACGCCACTTTCTGTGTGGTTGGGGATTTTATGTTGTTATCCGGCTGTAAAATGGGTTATAATATAATCTGTTTTGGATGAAACCATCTGCTAAACATATTAATGATGTTAATTGGTTCCCTCTCTCCCAGTTTCAGCTCGTGGCGGATCTGTTCCAGGATAGTAATAAAGACGGCAGCAGCTCCACGTCTTCTTCCAGCAAGTCCTCCAGGATCAACGTGCGCTCGGCCAAACCTACACCTAAAGTCCCCAACAAGGAGCACAGGAAAACCGTGGGCCACCAGGTTAGCATCCTTTCTGACACCATGAGGCCTGAGTTCAATCAGGAGTCTGTCTGTGTCAGTGTCATAGTCCATTTCTTAACAGTGTATTTAACCTTTCATTAGGAAGCAATGACATAACAAGTCTTTTTACAATGCTTGGTGGACACCGTCGTTTTTTATAACTTTGCCTTTGCAGTACTTCTTATCCTCCTTTCCTCTGTTTGTGAACTGTAGTTCCGCAGTTCCCTGCATCTTCTCATGGAGACCCTGAATGCCACCACCCCCCACTATGTGCGTTGCATCAAGCCTAATGATGAGAAGGAGGCATTCTCGTGAGTAAATATTTAGTTTCAGTCACCCTGTCTGACACATTTGTGTGGGTGACTGTGTATGTAGGCAACAGAATACGAGTTTGTGTGTCTTGTCTGTCTCATGTAACTTCTCTGCTCAAATAGCCATTTATATAGCCAACTTTGTTTAGGTTTACTGAAAAACCTTGCCCCTTTTTAGTGTAGGAGATGCTTTTGGGACTTCTGTACCTACTGGTACAGTATTACTGTAAACAAAGAGGCCTCTGTTCTGTGTGTATGTTTGTGTACAGTATGATTAAGCGTCAGAAGCCAACTTCTTATCGTGACTGGCTTCACTAATCAGATCTAGAAGCCTAATATGTGGTCTCCCATTCTTATGAAACATGTGGTACGGTCATAGTGAGGTAATATTTGCTTATGTAACAGAACACTAACAAACATGCATGGAGTCAGGGGAAAAGACAACAAGGAGAGAGTACTGTGGGTGACAGACAAAGAGACACATCACCTGCGTGTGCTGTGTTTGTTTTTTGGTTGCCTAGGCCCTAGCGTAGCCTGAGTTACTGATTCTGTCTCTTGCTGAATAACTCTCTCAAGTCCTCTGACTCAATAACAGAGTTTCTCTTGCTCACAGTGGCACAACCATGTTGACTGTTACCAGAAACCCTCGTCCAAAATGAAGACCGTTTTTCAATAAACAATGTTGTCTTGATAAGCAGTGTAGAATGGGACATTTAAACCAGCACACCTATGTTTTAGTTTTTTAGAGGTCGATTAAGGAAGTCTGTCTTGTGTTCTAAGGCTTTTCTACTACAGCACACATTGTAGACGTAGAATGTTGACTTCTGAAAAACAGGACAGAAGGAGAGGTCAGGTCATGTTGGCCTCTTCATGATGCATTCTTTAGCACAAGTGCCTCTTCAAGGTCTCTAAATCTAATGATGTGCCTTGGTCACATGCTGTGGCTGGACTTTAGCAAACATACTGAAGGCTGTATGTAGGGACACAGTCAGTCTGCCCAGGCAGCACCTAGCTGACTAGCATTAACATCCTCTTAATGCTTCTGTCTTCTGCTTAATGGAGACGTGTACAATGCTGAAGGGGAAGCTTAAGCTCAGGTAGGGAGAGTGGGATAGTCTTTACCTGTGTCTGTGTATTGTAATTAACCCTCCTAGAATGGTGTGTTTTCATTGTGATGGGGGAACAATTAGGAACTTTGTATACATGTTATTTTGTACCTCTCTCTGTTGCAGGTTTGACTCTAGGAGAGCTGTGCAGCAACTGAGGGCATGTGGAGTCCTGGAGACCATCCGCATCAGTGCTGCTGGGTACCCATCAAGGTAAGATTGCTTCTCACACACAGAGCACTACCAAAACATGGGTGGGCACGTTCTCTGTTGTGTGCAATAGATAGTGGAAGCAAAGTAATTAATTGTGGTCCTGTGTGGGTCAGTTGGTAGAGCATGGCGCTTGCAACACCAAGGGGTGTGGGTTCGATTCCCGCTGGGTCCACCCATATAAAACATTTATGCACGCAAGGCTATATGTCGCTTTGGATAAAAACTTCTGCTAAATGGCATATAATATTATTATTATTATTATTATTATTATTATTATTATTATTATTATTATATATTGTAATAGAATAGAATGTGGTTGTTATGCCACTTCTGGGTGATGTATGAAAAATGTATGCACTCATAAGTCGCTCTGGATAAGAGCGTCTGCTAAATGTCACTTTCGGAATTTGTGCCGGTGGCCCAGGCCTGGACGGAGGCTCTTCCTCTTTTGTCTGATTTTATTGCTCTATCATTGAGCTTTCTCGGTCGCCTAAGCAGGGGGGAAATTGAATTCCGTCTCTCCTGAGTTACGTGCTTCCCTGCGGGAGAACAGCAGGAGAGCAATTCACCACTGATCACGAAAACTCTCCTAATAACAATTTGATTCCATTACACAGCATAAAACAGAGACAGAATACTGCGTGAGAAAGTGCAGTCTTACTGTTTCATGTCTAGAGGACCGACACTAGTCCTGACCTGCTCATGGTCCAAACCCCAAAAAACTAGAGATTAACAATAATCATGCCTTATGTAGCGTGGAAGTGGTAATTACATTTTTTAGATTTTATTTTGTTAAAAATAATACAATGGTTTTCTTTTTCATGAATTAAAACATGCCTGTTTCAGATTTGTGCTGTCTCTGTGTTTGACTTGATTCTCAGCCAGTCCTATGTGATTCCAGGTGGACGTACCCAGACTTCTTCAACAGATACAGAGTCCTCATGAAGAAGTCCGATATGACCGTAGGGGACAAGAAACTGGTGTGTAGGAACCTGCTGGAAACCCTGGTCAAGGTAAGAAAGATTTCAGCCCTAAAGCCCCAAGCAGGATAGGAAAGGAAATGAACGAATAAAAAAGAAAAAAATATGTCTGAAGAACTCCCTTTCGGATGTTGTTCTTTTCAACAGAGCTCCCTAACTCCTTCAGGTCCATCTTTGCATGATTGAACCTACTGCATGTCTGATCTGATACAGTACTTTTCCAGTATTGAGAGACAACAACCTTGAATGTTTGAACCTGGGGAATGGGGATGTAGAAAGGCAGAGTTTCAGTCCTAATGGAGTAGCAGAGTTTCAGTCCTAATGGAGTAGCAGAGTTTCAGTCCTAATGGAGTAGCAGAGTTGTGTTCACTAGGAACAGTGGAGAATTCAGTATGCACAGTCTGAGAGGTTCTCTTGGCATCTCGCTCCTCTCCATCTCTGTACATGAGCAAGAGAACATGGAGTTTATTCATGTTATTAATACATTATTAATGGAATATAATTTGTATGCGCTTTGGACAGTATGTAATGGAAACCTCGTGTTTGATAACGTCCACTTAACTAACTGCCTTGATGCTCAGTTGATCGAGCTGAAGTTCCATTTAACTGAATTAATGAATGGAAACAAAATGACCTGGTCTTTCTCCCTCACTAGGACCCAGACAAGTTCCAGTTTGGCAAGACCAAGATCTTCTTTAGAGCGGGCCAAGTGGCCTACCTGGAGAAGCTGAGGGCAGACAAGTTCCGCTCCGCCTGCATCAAGATCCAGAAGACAGTGCGAGGCTGGCTGCAGAGGGTCCGCTACCAGAAGATACGCAAGTCTGCCATCACCTTGCAGAGATTTGGCCGCGGTTACATGGCCCGCAGGTGAGAGGAGAAACACACCGTTCTGCTACACTAACAAAGTGTTCCCATGCGGGAACTTCTTGATAAATCACACTACAAGGGTCATGAACCAGTTGTTGTCAATATCGGTGCCAGTGTTGTAACTCCTTTCCCTGTCCTCCTCCCTTTGCTGTCTTTCTCTGTCTGTTTCAGGCTTGCGGAGCATCTGCGTCTAACCCGCACTGCTGTTATTTGTCAGAAGCAGTATCGTATGGTCCGAGAGCGGAGGGACTATCTGAGGGTGAGACAGGCTATTGTCACCATCCAGGCCTTTACCAGGGGCATGTTCACCCGCAGGATCTTCCAGGAGGTACTACAACCACAACACTCTACTTGTTATGTCACTGGTTGACCTTTTCACCTTCTTTATCCAGGATTTTGTATACACTCATTTGTTCCCAATCTCTCACTGTATTAGTGTTGAAACTATCAGTTGTTGAAATTGATTAGATCTCTATCAGGAGTAATGAGTGCCCTGGGATGATGCCTCAGTCTTGGACTTGTCCTGTTTGTTTGACTGGAAAATTGGAGACGAAGTGCTCCGATTTAAAACGGAATGTGATCAGGCGGACCTTGCATAAATGCTGCCTGCTATGGCGCCTTCTCGGATACACTAGATTCCCTTTGGATTGAGAACTCTAGAATTTCCCCCTACTGGGGTTAACTACATATTTACCTCGACTAACCTGTACCCCTGCACGTTGACTCGGTACCGATACCCCCTGTATATAACCTCATTATTGTTATTATTATTATTTTTATTTTTTTACTTTAGTGTATTTAGTAGATACTTAACGCTATTTTCTTAAAACTGCATTGTTGGTTAAGAGTTTGTAAGTAAGTATTTGACGGTAAGGTCTACACCTGTTGTATTCGGCACATGTGACAAATACAATTTGATTTGATTTTGATTTGATATTTCCCATCACATTGTACAGTATAATAAATGGTTCCTTGTCCCTGATCTCTACCTCCCCTCTCCACCTCCCCAGTTCCTTCTGCATCACAAAGCCATGATCATCCAGAAGCATGTCCGAGGCTGGCTCACCAGGAGGAAGTTCAGGCGGGCACGGAACGCCGCCATCACCATCCAGTGTGCCTACCGCCGCATGCGTGCCAAGCGTGAGCTGAAACAGCTGAAGATCGAGGCGAGGTCCGCCCAACATCTGAAGAAGCTCAACACAGGCATGGAGAACAAGATTGTCCAACTGCAGAGGAAAATGGATGACCAGGTACAGTCATAGACACGTTTCTGACCCAGGTCACTTTATGGGAGTACCATAATACAAAGACGGGTCAATGAAAGGCACAATATTCCTTTCTCTTTGCAATCATTTTGGCACCTAATGTTTTTAGCTAGTCTAGACTGTAAGTTATGTTAAAAAGTGATGTGATGTCCAATAGTAGTAACCAGCGCTCTCTCTCCTGTCCCACTGTGTAGACCAAAGATCTGAAGACTCAGAATGAGCAGCTGGTGGTGGCCAAAGCCTCCCTGGGCTCAGAGGTGAACAAACTGCAGAAGGAGCTGGAGACGATGCGCAGTCGCCAGGGAGACGGCAGTCAGCTGACCTCTCTAAGGGAGGAGCTGGAGAAGCTGAGGGCGGAGCTCCAGGAAGCACACGCCCACAGGAAGAAGCTTGAGGAGGAGCACAGCAACGAGAAGATGGGACTGGAACAGGTGAGCTGTCAATCACTGAAGGGGAGAAAGTAAATGTTCCTTTTATAAGGCTGTCATTTGGGATTTTGTATGCTGTTCAGTGCCTCAAGATTGGACAGACTGTTTTATAATTAGCAGACAGGTTGCCATCTTTCTCTGTCCATTTAGATCATTCAGAGTTATCTTAGTACTGAACCTTGTATGTTCTCCAAAGCCCTTCTGTTCAATGAATAAAACCTTCTGTTGAAACAACTCCAAAAGATGCTGGTAGCAGCAGTTTTACTGAATTCTTACTCTAAGAATCAAATAAATTCTTAGTCTTATTACTGAACATCAGACTCTCCAACAATCTCATTATGGATTCAACTGTATTGTATCAGTGCTCTCCTGCTGACCTGAAATTGATATCATGTATACATTTTTGTATTGTTTTGACCACCTGACTTAGGAATTAAGAAGATCATTGTTAAGTAAATTGGCCTTGGGCTTTTTCGGTGCCTCAGTGGTAATAAATACAGTGAGGGAAAAAAGTATTTGATCCCCTGCTGATTTTGTACGTTTGCCCTCTGACAAAGAAATGATCAGTCTATAATTTTAATGGTAGGTTTATTTGAACAGTGGGAGACAGAATAACAACAACAAAATCCAGAAAAACGCATGTCAAAAATGTTATGAATTGATTTGCAAGTATTTGACCCCTCTGCAAAACATGACTTAGTACTTGGTGGCAAAACCCTTGTTGGCAATCACAGAGGTCCCATTCCTCTTTGCAGATCTTCTCTAAGACGTTAAGGTTTCGAGCCTGACGTTAAGCAACTCGAACCTTCAGCTCCCTCCACATATTTTCTATGGGATTAAGGTCTGGAGACTGGCAAGGCCACTCCAGCACCATAATGTGATTCTTCTTGAGCCACTCCTTTGTTGCCTTGGCCGTGTGTTTTGGGTCATTGTCATACTGGAATACCCATCCACGACCCATTTTCAATGCCCTGGCTGAGGGAAGGAGGTTCTCACCCAAGATTTGAAGGTACATGGCCCCGTCCATCGTCCCTTTGATGCAGTGAAGTTGTCCTGTCCCCTTAGCAGAAAAACACCCCCAAAGCATAATGTTTCCACCTCCATGTTTGACGGTGGGGATGGTGTTCTTGGGGTCATAGGCAGCATTCCTCCTCCTCCAAACACGGCGAGTTGAGTTGATGCCAAAGAGCTCCGTTTTGGTCTCATCTGACCACAACACTTTCACCCAGTTCTCCTCTGAATCATTCAGATGTTAATTGGCAAACTTCAGACGTGCATGTATATGTGCTTTCTTGAGCAGGGGGACCTTGCGGGCGCTGCAGGATTTCAGTCCTTCACGGCGTAGTGTGTTACCAATTGAATCTGATTGATTGATTGCTTCTGTGGACAGGTGTCTTTTTATACAGGTAACAAGCTGAGATTAGGAGCACTCCCTTTAAGAGTGTGCACCTAATCTCAGCTCGTTACCTGTATAAAAGACACCTGGGAGCCAGAAATCTTTCTGATTGAGAGGGGGTCAAATACTTATTTCCCTCATTAAAATGCAAATCAATTTATAACATTTTTGACATGCGTTTTTCTGGATTTTTTTGTTGTTATTCTCTCTCACTGTTCAAATAAACCTACCATTAAAATGATAGACTGATCATTTCTTTGTCAGTGGGCAAACATACAAAATCAGCAGGGGATCAAATACTTTTTTCTCTCACTGTACCCCTCTTTGCCCCTTTGATTCTCTCTCAAGTCAGCCAATTTGTAACAATGCAGGAATTGTCCCTGGCTCTCTAGCACCGTCTGACATCACTATGAGAGCCTCACACGCAGGATCTACAGAGTTATAGTCACTTAAAGAGAAACAGAGAAACAAAACGACTAAATAGACCTTTTGCTCACTTATAGAGAGTACGTAGCATCTATCGTCTGAAGTAGCAAATGAAAATGGATAAAAGAAAATGCAAAGCTCTTGAATGGCCACCATGCTCTTTCTGATGTCTCAATGTCTTTCATTAATGCGCTTGTTCTTTTTTCTTAGAGAGTGGAGGAGCTAGAGAGGGAGAATGCCATGCTGAAGAGTGAAAAGGAGAAGATGAACCAAAGGATTCTGCACCACTCCAAGAGTACAGAAGGTAAGTGCTTTTTAGATCTCATACACCACTAAGATGTAAACAATAGGATTACTACAGTGATTAGTTGATGTATAGGAGTGGTTGAAGGTGAAACTGTAGTCACAGTGAGCCTTGCAGTCTGCCTGACCTGCCCTGAGGCGAGGGACGGCTCGTTTCCCCACACAAAAGGGGTTTCTGTGTGGAAGTAGGACGAGAGAGGCAGAAACCGCATCAAGTTACACGGCAGCAGCAATGTGAGACTTTTTTTAATTATTTTTTTTACCTGAGACTGAAGTCAGCCATTGTTTAGTATTGGGTTCACGTGGGAAAGTGAAACATATTCGTTTTGAACTATGTACCTGTATGTGTGCTAAACATAAATCAATCAATTTGTTAAATCCATTCGTCAATGGACTTCTTTGTCAATAAGAAGTCACTTATAGTTTACATCATAATCTCTGAACATTACCACTGCCCCTCTAAATGCCATGTGCAATACTTCAAACGGGATGTTTAATCACAGAGCAGTTCAAAGGAAATCATTTTACATAAAATATCACACCAGCCATGACCCACATTTGACTTACTGAACACTGTATCTACTCTTTTCTGGTGGAAATTGAAGTAGATATTGAAGTGTTGTCGCCTTAATATTGGCCAAATCTGCTCTCTTTATCTGCAGTGTTACTGTAGGGTTCTCTCGGGTCCCCTTGGGATGAGCGACAGCACTATGAACTGTAACATTACTGTGCTTTTTATTTTCTACTGCCGGTTAGAGCAGCATGTTGTCCAGGCTGGTGTAAAAGCCCACGTTTTTGGAGCTAGGGATATTACACACCAGAGAACCCCTATTATTTATGTATTACATTAACATTACAGTAGCAACATACTATGATCCCAGTGATTCTGCCTTCATATTCAATCCAATCCCTTGTAATAACAGAGTATGATATGGTCCTCTTAGGAACCTTGGGGATGAAAAGAGCCAATAAACGAGTTATCAGGCCGTCCACCGCAGTATATAAAGATGATATATAAATGCAAATAATGCATTAAAGGGTTGGTTTCAAGAGGGAGTGGGGGAGAACGATCATGTTTTCATCCTCCCTAGGACCAGGAGTTTTTCCAAGAGTAAAAAAACAACAACATATGACCTGGTAAAATATCTGGTCCCATCATAGCATATATAAAACTGTTTTTACAGCTGATTTATTACTATGTCATAACCAGAGTTTTACCTGGTGTGGTTAGCCTACCAGATCACGAAAAACAATTCCCCCCCACCACTTTGGGACCTGTGGTGCCACCTCTGAAATCACCACAAAATGTTACAAATGAAACAGTAATTTCATACAAATAGAATATATTATCTCAACATTTTGACTTGCGTAGTTTCACCTGCGTATCTCAAAATGTTGACTTACATATCTAAACATTTTGAGATAGTAGGCCTATAAAAACATATACAGTGAGGGAAAAAAGTATTTGATCCCCTGCTGATTTTGTACGTTTGCCCACTGACAAAGAAATGATCAGTCTATAATTTTAATGGTAGGTTTATTTGAACAGTGAGAGACAGAATAACAACAAAGAAATCCAGAAAAACGCATGTCAAAAATGTTATAAATTGATTTGCATTTTAATGAGGGAAATAAGTATTTGACCCCTCTGCAAAACATGACTTAGTACTTGGTGGCAAAACCCTAGTTGGCAATCACAGAGGTCAGACGTTTCTTGTAGATGGCCACCAGGTTTGCACACATCTCAGGAGGGATTTTGTCCCACTCCTCTTTGCAGATCTTCTCCAAGTCATTAAGGTTTCGAGGCTGACGTTTGGCAACTCGAACCTTCAGCTCCCTCCACAGATTTTCTATGGGATTAAGGTCTGGAGACTGGCTAGGCCACTCCAGGACCTTAATGTGCTTCTTCTTGAGCCACTCCTTTGTTGCCTTGGCCGTGTGTTTTGGGTCATTGTCATGCTGGAATACTCATCCACGACCCATTTTCAATGGCCTGGCTGAGGGAAGGAGGTTCTCACCCAAGATTTGACGGTACATGGCCCCGTCCATCGTCCCTTTAATGCGGTGAAGTTGTCCTGTCCCCTTAGCAGAAAAACACCCCCAAAGCATAATGTTTCCACCTCCATGTTTGACGGTGGGGATGGTGTTCTTGGGGTCATAGGCAGCATTCCTCCTCCTCCAAACACGGCGAGTTGAGTTGATGCCAAAGAGCTCCGTTTTGGTCTCATCTGACCACAACACTTTCACCCAGTTCTCCTCTGAATCATTCAGATGTTAATTGGCAAACTTCAGACGTGCATGTATATGTGCTTTCTTGAGCAGGGGGACCTTGCGGGCGCTGCAGGATTTCAGTCCTTCACAGTGTAGTGTGTTACCAATTGTTTTCTTGGTGACTATGGTCCCAGCTGCCTTGAGATCATTGACAAGATCCTCCCATGTAGTTCTGGGCTGATTCCTCTCCGTTCTCATGATCATTACAACTCCACAAGGTGAGATCTTGCATGGAGCCCCATGCCGAGGGAGATTGACTGTTCTTTTGTGTTCCTTCCATTTGCAAATAATCGCACCAACTGTTGTCACCTTCTCACCAAGCTGCTTGGCGATGGTCTTGTAGCCCATTCCAGCCTTGTGTAGGTCTACAATCTTGTCCCTGACATCCTTGGAGAGCTCTTTGGTCTTGGCCATGGTGGAGAGTTTGGAATCTGATTGATTGATTGCTTCTGTGGACAGGTGTCTTTTATACAGGTAACAAGGTGAGATTAGGAGCACTCCCTTTAAGAGTGTGCTCATAATCTCAGCTCGTTACCTGTATAAAAGACACCTGGGAGCCAGAAATCTTTCTGATTGAGAGGGGGTCAAATACTTATTTCCCTCATTAAAATGCAAATCAATTTATAACATTTTTGACATGCGTTTTTCTGGATTTCTTTGTTGTTATTCTGTCTCTCACTGTTCAAATAAACCTACCATTAAAATTATAGACTGATCATTTCTTTGTCAGTGGGCAAACGTACAAAATCAGCAGGGGATCAAATACTTTTTTCCCTCACTGTATATACAGTACCAGTCAAGGGTTTGGACACACCTACTCATTCAAGGGTTTTTCTTTATTTTTACTATTTTCTACATTGTAGAATAATAGTGAAGACATCAAAACTATGAAATAACACATATGCAATCATGTAGTAACCAAACAAGTATTCAACAAATCAAAATATATTTTACAGTGGCTTGCGAAAGTATTCTCCCCCTTGGCATTTTTCCTATTTTGTTGCCTTACAACCTGGAATAAATAAAAAAAATTGGGGGTTTGTATCATTTGATTTACACAACATGCCTACCACTTTGAAGATGTAAAATATTTTTTTGTGTGAAACAAACAAGAAATAAGACAAAAAAACAGACAACTTGAGCGTGCATAACTATTCACCCCCCCAAAGTCAATACTTTGTAGAGCCACCTTTTGCAGCAATTACAGCTGCAAGTCTCTTGGGGTATGTCTCTATAAGCGTTGCACATCTAGCCACTGGGATTTTTGCCCATTCTTCAAGGCAAAACTGCTCCAGCTCCTTCAAGTTGGATGGGTTCCGCTGGTGTACAGCAATCTTTAAGTCATACCACAGATTCTCAATTGGATTGAGGTCTGGGCTTTGACTAGGCCATTCCAAGACATTTAAATGTTTCCCCTTAAACCACTCGAGTGTTGCTTTAGCAGTATGCTTAGGGTCATTGTCCTGCTGGAAGGTGAACCTCTGTCCCAGTCTCAAATCTCTGGAAGACAAACAGGTTTCCCTCAAGAATTTCCCTGTATTTAGCGCCATCCATCATTCGTTCAATTCTGACCAGTTTCCCAGTCCCTGCCGATGGAAAAACATCCCCACAGCATGATGCTGCCACCACCATGGTGTTCTCGGGGTGATGAGAGGTGTTGGGTTTGCGCCAGACATAGCGTTTTCCTTGATGGCCAAAAAGCTCAATTTTAGTCTCATCTGACCAGAGTACCTTCTTCCATATGTTTGGGGAGTCTCCCACATGCCATTTGGCAAACACCAAACGTGTTTGCTTATTTTTTTCTTTAAGAAATTCAATTTTTCTGGCCACTCTTCCGTAAAGCCCAGCTCTGTGGAGTGTACGGCTTAAAGTGGTCCTATGGACAGATACTCCAATTTCCGCTGCGGAGCTTTGCAGCTCCTTTAGGGTTATCTTTGGTCTCTTTGTTGCCTCTCTGATTAATGCCCTCCTTGCCTGGTCCATGAGTTTTGGTGGGTGGCCCTCTCTTGGCAGGTTTGTTGTGGTGCCATATTCTTTCCATTTTTTAATAATGGATTTAATGGTGCTCCGTGGGATGTTCAAAGTTTCGGATATTTTTTTATAACCCAACCCTGTTCTGTACTTCTCCACAACTTTGTCCCTGACCTGTTTGGAGAGCTCCTTGGTCTTCATGGTGGTGCCCCTTGCTTAGTGGTGTTGCAGACTCTGGGGCCTTTCAGAACAGGTGTGTATATATACTGAGATCATGTGACAGATCATGTGACACTTAGATTGAACACAGGTGGACTTTATTTAACTAATTATGTGACTTCTGAAGGTAATTGGTTGCACCAGATCTTATTTAGCGGCTTCATAGCAAAGGGGGTGAATACATATGCACGCACCACTTTTCCGTTATTTTATTTTTTTCATTTTTTTTCATTTCACGTCACCAATTTGGACTATTTTGTGGATGTCCATTACATGAAATCCAAATAAAAATCCATTTAAATTACAGGTTGTAATGCAACAAAATAGGAAAAACGGTATATTTGAGATTCTTCAAATAGCCACCATTTGCGTTGATGACAGCTTTGCGCACGCTTGGCATTCTCTCAACCAGCTTCGCCTGGAATGCTTTTCCAACAGTCTTGAAGGAGTTCCCACATATGCTTAGCACTTGTTGGCTGCTTTTCCTTCACTCTGTTGTCCGACTCATCCCAAAACATTTCAATTGGGTTGAGGTCGGGGGGATTGTGGAGGACAGGTCATCTGATGCAGCACTCCATCACTCTCCTTCTTGGTAAAATAGCCCTTACACAGCCTGGAGGTGTGTTGGGTAATTGTCCTGTTGAAAAACAAATGATAGTCCCACTAAGCCCAAACCAGATGGGACTGCGAATCGCTGCAGAATGCTGTGGTAGCCATGCTGGTTAAGTGTGCCTTGAATTCTAAATAAATCACAGTGTCACCAGCAAAGCACCCCTACACCATAACACCACATCCTCCATGCTTTACGGTGGGAACTACACATGCAGAGATAATCCATTCACCCACACCGCGTCTTACAAAGACACAGCGGTTGGAACAAAAAATCTCCAATTTGGACTCCAGACCAAAGGACAAATTTCCACTGTCCATTGCTCGTGTTTATTGGCCCAAGCAGGTCTCTTCTTCTTATTGGTGTCCTTTAGTAGTGGTTTCTTTGCAGGAATTCGATCATGAAGGCCTGATTCACACAGTCCCCTCTGAACAGTTGATGTTGAGATGTGTCTGTTACTTGAACTCTGTGAAGCATTTACTTGGGCTGCAATTTCTGAGGCTGGTAACTCTAATGAACTTATCCTCTACAGCATAGGTAACTCTGGGTCTTCCATTCCTGTGGCAGTCCTCATGAGAGCCAGTTTCATCATAGCGCTTGATGGTTTTTGCGACTGCACTTGAAGAAACTTTCAAAGTTCTTGAAATGTTCCGTATTGACTGACCTTCATGTCTTAAAGTAATGATGGACTGTCATTTCTCTTTGCTTATTTGAGCTGTTCTTGCCATAATATGGACTTGGTCTTTTACCAAATAGGGCTATATTCTGTATACCCCCCTACCTTGTCACAACACAACTGATTGGCTAAAACACATTAACTTAAATTCCACAAATTAACTTTTAAGAAGGCACACCTGTTAATTGAAATGCATTCCAGGTGACTACCTCATGAAGCTGGTTGAGAGAATGCCAAGAGTGTGCAAAGCTGTCAAGGCAAAGAGTGGCTATTTGAAGAATCTCAAATATAAAATATATTTTGATTTGTTTAACACTTTTTTGGTTACTAAATGATTCCATATGTGTTATTTCATAGTTTTGATATCTTCACTATTATTCTACAATGTAAAAAATTAAGAAAAACCCTTGAATGAGTAGGTGTGTCCAAACCTTTGACTGGTAGTGTATATATATCGTTGCGGGATTGGGCTTCCATAGTTTTTCTTGGCTCATTGTAGCTGGCAGGCTGCAGCTACTGCGACAATTTCAGAATGTAACAGGATGTTAACTGCAGTTTCAGGTAAAAACTCAATAAAACAAGTCTCAAATATAAGTCTATACATTTCAGATGTTTCAAAAACATTGCTCTGCTATTACTATTTATACAGTAGGAGTGTTAAGCTCAACTAGGTACACTGCCCTGCTCAGAGGGGGGCAACTGTCAGGCGAGTGTACGTGAATACTGTATCTCTTTTCTAGTGTAAAACCAGAGGTAGCGCTCGAGATGTGATAATTTCGCAAGTTTACGTAATAGTATTGTCTCTCAAAAATATATGCTTCTCGAACCTCTCAAGAATGTCCCTTTGCTATCGTCAATGTGAAAACGATCAAAGATAGAAAAGTTATTTGGAATCATGACAATACAATAACCTATCCCTCAAATTCATATATGAAATGGTGATGACACCAAGTTGCTATTCCAAATAACTTTAGGTCTTAATAAAATAAATATGACATCAAAGACTAGCAGATAGATATTCAGTACCTGTAATGAAGAATACTGTATGTAACTTAGTGATGGCTTGTTTTCTAGTCACTCAAATGGGGGCTCATCTACAGGACAGTAATTGAGTAATAGTAAAAGTGGAGACTCATGAAAGTGATTGATGTGGACTGGTCGTGTGTGTGTGTGCTTCAGACCAGGAGAGCAGTGCGTCCCAGAGTGTGGGTCGGGTCCAGGCAGAGCTGGATGAGGAGAGGCAGCGCTACCAGAATCTTCTTAGGGAGTTCTCCAGACTGGAGCAGAGATATGACAACCTACAGGAGGCCAAGGTGTGTGGGTGTGGGTGTGTGTGAACATTTGCATATAGGTGTCCTATGCCAAGCCAGATGTCCAATGGTTCCCTGTCTCCTCTACCCTTCAGTTTCAGCCTGGCCACAGGAGGAACAATTCTAACCAGAGCAGCCTGGAGTCTGACTCCAATTATCCCTCCGTCTCTACCTCGGAGGTGGGAGACACTGACGATGCCATCCAGCTCGTAGAGGTAAGACCCCCTTAACCAGGATTAACTAGTTTTATACAGCCTTATACAGTCTAACACAGGCTTACTGTGCCCAGCTGTACATAGTTGCTTGGACTAGATTCTGACCTGACATTGTCCCCCTGCAGGAGATGGGAGTGGAGAAGGCAGCGATGGACATCGGTGTGTTCATGAAGCTGCAGAAGCGTGTTAGAGAGCTGGAACAGGAGAGGAAGAGACTGCAAGTCAACCTGGAAAAGATGGAGGACCAGGCTAAGCGCAAGGTGGGCCCATGTCTCAGTCCAGTGTTATGCTCTTGCTTGTTTTTGTATCCTTCTTAAAGACCTACACAGATGTTTCTCCCATTACTGCAGGTAGAGGTTTTGATCTTAACAAGTTGTTTTCTTGAATACCTTTTAAGTTTAAGATCAGGACCGTGATCCTCAAGCTGCTTGCCTCTGTTTTATCGACCCAAAGTGGAATATTTACTATTAACTGTCTCTCTTAGGGCATTGAGCCAAAGACAACGTCAGCGCAAGAGAGTGCGGACCTGGCCTACAACAGTCTCAAGGTACAGATCCATCCACCCCCACACAGATACACAAACTAACATGCATACACACAGACAAACACGGTGTACAGTACTATTCAGCAGTGGGATGTCTCTATTTGTGGTGTTCGATGTCTTCTTCACTCTGTCTGTTCTGGTGTCTTTGGCCGTCCTGCCTTTGAAACTGTGGGTGTAAAACATTCCCTACACCACCGCCACCAGCCTGTACCAATGACACCAGGCAGGATGGGGCCATGGACTCATAATGCTTACGCTAAATCTTGACTCTGCCATCAGCATGACGCAACAGGAACCGGGATTCGTTGGACCAGGCAATGTTTTTCCACTCCTCAATTGTCCAGTTTCTTCTTGTTTTTAGCTGATAGGAGAGGAACCCGGTGTGGTCGTCTGCTGCAATAGCCCATCTGTGACAAGGATCGACGAGTTGTGCGTACCGTTATTTGCCTGTTTGTGGCCCGCCTGTTAGCTTGCATGATTCTTGCCATTCTCCTTCGACCTCTCATCAACTAACTGTTTTTGCCCACAAGACTGCCGCTGACTGGACGTTTTTTGTTTGTTGCACCATTTTTGGTAAACCCTAGACACTGTCGTGTGTGAAAATGACTTTTTAGTTAAGTTTCCTTATTCTTTAAGATGCCAAACGTAGCATGGTTCATCATGGTAACGTCTTTGATGACCCTAACAAGTTTCAAGTTGATATGCCATTGTAGGGTGGATTTCCAAAGGATTTAAATGGACACGTAAAATCAGATTTCCTGATTTGTCAATAACTCAGTCATCTCTTAACCAATCCCTTTTCTCAAACTAAGTTAAGAGATGTATCATGGGCCTACATACCGAATTTTGTGTTATTTGGACTTATGGTTCATGAGAATAATTTTTCCTAAATGTCCAAGATGGAGGAAATGTATTCTGACGGACCTTATGGGTCCTTGAGGCAAATTTGTTCAGCATGAGGTAAAACACCTACATACCTACAACGTTTCAAGTCACTAGGTCAAACAGAGTGGTGGATATGAGGGTTTAAGTGAGACTGCTAATAACAGCGAAAGGCCAATTTGTGGGCGCCATTCTTTTTGACCAAGTTACTAATTGCCTCTAGTTTCTGTGGGCAAAATTAGAAAAAAAGTTACCAATCTATGCTTGAGTTATTTGACCATGTTAAAAAATACAAAATAAGAATTAAGAGTAACAGTAGGCATTCACAGCTGTGAACCCCTAAAAATCGATTTCTGCTCATTGGCCCATCTCTATGGGGCTTGCTTCTTGCACCTTGGATAATAGCACCATAATAGCACAGGCCACAGGGTTTAGATTCGATTGGCAGTAAAAATGTGTGTGTGGAGCATTTTGCAGATTTGAGAGGCATGGGGTCCTACTGTAGCTGAGCTAAATTTAACCCTTGACTAGTCTACTGCCATTGAACGATAACTGCTATGAAGAGAAGAAGATAGAGAAGAGAAGAAGAGAGAGAAGAGAGAGAGAGAGAAGACTGAGAGAGAAGAGAGAGAGAGAGAGAGAGAGAGAGAGAGAGATAGAGAAGGAGAGAGAGTAGATATAGAGATAGGAGAGATAGAGCTGATGAGAGGCAGAGAGATCGAGAGATGAAGAGATTTGAGATTGAAGGTATCGCGTACTCCTAGCTCTCTCTCTCGCTCTCTCTCCTCTCTCCTGCTCTCTAGAGAGAGAGAGTGTTTTCAGTCACTATACAGTGCCATAGCTAAAATGAAAATCAACTACAAATACTTTTGATGTCTCTACAAACATTTACTTACTAAGCTACTCCCAATGTGGTAACGATCATATCTTACTCTGCTCTATATTACTTGTATTGGTATAATTACTGTCATTCTTCCTTACATTGAGACTTGGCATTTCACTACTTTTATTACCAACGATTACCAAAGCTCAATTTTAGATTGCCAATAAATATATTTGTACTTTGGCCTTGTTTTTCCACAGAGACAGGAGCTGGAATCTGAGAACAAGAAGCTGAAGAATGACCTGAACGAGCTGAGGAAGGCCATTGCTGACCGCGCCTCCAAGAACAGCTCCTCCAATGAGCTTCAGGACGGCTACAACCTGCTGCTGGGCCAGCTCAAGGCAGCCAATGAGGAGCTGGATGTGCGTAAGGAGGAGGTCCTCATCCTCAGGACTCAGATTGTCACTGCAGCCCAGCAGAAAGAGAAGGAGACAACCAATCACATCGTAAGTCACCAAACTGGGAGCTGAAAGTTGACATGGCTTTTGGTGTCCAATGGGAAGTGTTGATAATCCAGTTTATATGGCCCTGTTTGTTAATCAAAAGGTTATCTACAGACACATTAAACTGGTACCACGGACCTTCAAATTAGTCTTGTGAGGCTTGCGTTCTAGGGCAAAACGGAGAACACCATCATGTTCGTGAGTCTCAGCTTTCCACAGAGGGGTCATATTAGTGTGTGGCCCAAACCGTTTGGACGCTACAGACGTTTTCGTGAGAAGAACGATTTTCATGGTCTGACAAACACCACTCTACCTCTGCCACCGTTCACCGCAGATGCGGAAGGGCGATATCGGCGGATGTGGTGGATTGAGACGCAGCCCATGCAAAAATAGCACATATCTCTAGCTTAAGCGAATAGATTTTGCTGGGGATTTTTTTATTATGTTGATTAGATTTCCGCTGGGGCGCGACCATTGTAGGCCAAAGGTTGAAGGAATGTTCTACAGCTTGTTTCCACGACTCCACAGCAAGTTGTTAGTGGCCCTAGTTATGCAAATTGCCCAGATATATCTTTTTTTTTATTGCAAATAAGCAATAAAGTAGCCTTTTATCGAACCAGGAAGTCATTTGTTAGAATGATGAGATTACTACAGCTTCCATGGTGCTTTGCGTCTAAGCTCAATATAGTAACAATAGCAGAACTAACGATACACAACCGCAATACCCACAATAGCACTATAGGAAATTATGCCATATAAAAACATTATCTAGCAGGCGCCAAACACTTACTCTGTTGTCATCTGTTCTCTTGGCCACAGGCAGATTTTTTTTTCTTGAGCGGATGGTCAGGGTGCCGGAACATATTACAAATAATTTGTAGAATGTAAATTGACTGCAAGATGCACAAACAGATATGTTTGACTAAATATTTTGATAATAATTTCACACCTTGCTTATTACATTTGTATACACTCTTAGAAAAAAGGGTTCCAAAAGGGTTCTGCGGCTATCCCCATAGGAGAACACTTTTTGGTTTCAGGTAGAACCCTTTTTGGTTCCAGGTAGAACTCTTTTGGGATCCATGTAGAACCCTCTGTGGAAAGGGTTCTACATTTCTAAGAGTGTGCGATCACATACAGTATCTCTCTATTATGCATGGGAATACTTTGCAACAGATTTCCAAAATGTAAATCACTTGGCGCTGATTTGCTGGTGTTTTTACGGTCTTATGTCGAACAATAAATAAATGTTGGTTTTGTTCAGAAAACTTGGGGTTCCAAATAAACTCACCCGCGGGCCGCCAGTTGAGGAATCCTGCTATAGGTTATTTGACAGTAGTAACGATAGAAGCTCTCTGACTGACACAGAACTACAGTCTCATGACTGTTTAACTAGAAACACCCAGTTTTTCAAATTCCTTACGTTCGGGGGTGTGACAAGCGGAGACCAGGAAATCAACCTCACTCCTCCCTAAAGCTCGTTGTAGTTTTCAAAAAACACGTGATTACCCCCAAATACGTCACTGAGGCTAAAATCTGGAAAATAGCTTTTGATCTACAGAACGCATTTGGAAGCTGTTTTCACAGTCCTACATGTTCGTAACGTGATCTTGACAGCTATTTTGAGGTTTTAAAAAATCCAGTACGTTCCTTTAAGGATGTTTGTGACTCGTGGGTTGAAGGGCAACATGATTATTATCATTATGCAGCGCAATTGAATTGAGTCAAATCAGTCAGGGATGAAAAGCACATGATAGTCTTGTACTATAATGGATTCCAGTGACCTGTATCTTACCCAAACAAAACACTTGAATATTTGATCAAATGTTTCCAGTTTGATTTAGACAGAGGTACAGGCAGACTAGTATGTAACTGGAGAGTCTCATTATGAGACTTACGAGAGAGACTGACCTCCAAGCCAGACCTCCAACTGGGACTGTGAACGACAGAGTCTGACGGATCGGCCCTTACATTGTAATAATCCAGCGGGGCATTAACCTGTAGTTATGTCCTGGGCAGCCAGGCGTTTGGTTTGAGAGGGAGTGCCTCAGGACAGGAGGGCAGAGAGAGAGCATGGTGTGTGGGAGGCAGCAAAACAGACTGCTTTCATTCACTCAAGCGTTTCCACTTCTTCCCCCTCACACCTCTTCTTCCCCCTCACACCTAGGTAATATTTCAGACTCTCCTGAGCTGCTCTCTCCCAGTCCCACCTGCTAGGTTAGTGGAGGATATGCCTGGCGTGTCATACTCCTTAGAAGATGATGGCCTGTCTCTCTGATTCTTCCTTTCCCAACTGACGAAAGCTCATTGGTTCAGCTGCAGAGATTAGAGAGGCGCTGGCCTGTAATATGAAAGTGTGTTGAGGACAGCTGTACTTCAATATAGCCTATGTCTCAGGTTTATGAGTGCGTGTTACACACTGACTGGGTTTGATCTAAAGAGGGAAAGAGACAAGTCAGATTAATGTCTGCATCATTACCTTATAAAGCAGTGGCAGATGTATCCACCAACTATCTCCTACGGTTTTTACTACATCTTTAATGGCATCATAAATTGACCTTCATGTCCCTCCCTCTCCATAGGAAACCAATAACTTGCCTGAATGGACCAACAGCAAGAAGCCCATAGACAAGGAGGAGGCTCTGAGGGCCTACCATGGACTCTGTGAGTCTAAGAAGTAAGTGTGTGTTTCTTTACCTTATATTGGAAGTACAGTCATGGAATACACACTGGGTTTTTTCGTGTCATATACCCACTGGTGCACAGAATGTTTTTCAATGTAAATATCACATTTATACTTATGGATTGACAGAGTGAAATGGAAATGAGGAAAGTGTCACTCTGGTGGTTCAGCTTTCATTCCATGTGACTACATACAATTGTTGCCAGTGCTACTATTGTTTTGTCCAACTAGAAATTGCCTAGAGATATTCACTACTGTACTTCTATGTCCAGCGCTTAGTCCAACAGACACAGTTTAGCTACAGTATGCTCAAGGTGACAGACAAACCAAAAAGCCCCCCCTCACGCGAAGCACTCGAGGTGAAGCAGTTTCAGCACTGTCTTCACCCAATCCTTATACATCCATATAACCAGTGACGAAAACCCAGAAAACAGAACTAATGCACCTCGGATCTCCCGCATCACATTCAGTCCTGGAAGTTTCTCTCAGTCTACACACAGAATCTGCCCACAGGAGATTACTCTCAGGGTAACATTGGGTCACCTTTCTAATCTAAACTGTCCCCATCACTCTGATGTATGATAACATATTCATGGCAAACTGCCCGGCTTTTGATTGCACCCTATTGAAATTGACACAGTGGTATCCTTCCTGATCCATCTACCTTCATGGCCCTCTGTCTCATCATCATTAACAGAACCCTCTGTCAGTCAGTGAGTGACGGGACTTAGATGGGACTCAGATTGCCAGGGAGGAAAGACATTTGTGTTGCTCATGATGAGCCACTCGAAGCACACAGATTCATCTCGATCCAAAGCAATCTTCCATTGACCCGTGATCTATTCCTGTCCTTTTATATATTTTGTTCTCTGTGTCCCAGCCCGGTTTGAGAGACCTAGCCTAAATGCCAGGCTGATTTAAACACCTCTGTTGTGTCTGCAGAGCAGAACCTTTTAACCTGGAGGGATTTCTCAGACATCCTCATTATGGCAGAATGACCCTGCAGATAGAAGGCAGTAATGAGAGGCAGATGCCGATATGATGACACCCTCTCACCCTGATCAGGTTTTAAAAGGGTAAACATCCCCGTAACGCTAGGTGCAAATGGAAGCTTTTGCCTAAAGAGAGGTCCTTCACTGTGTTTTAGTGGCGTTGGTAGTGTCTGTCTCTATGTCTGTTGTGTGAGAGCTTTTTCCTATGTCAGCTATAAGATTTGAACTGCAAAATCTCTGGTTCCTCTTGAGGTTTCTGCTCAACCTCTCTGTGGTGCTAACTCCTCTTGCTCTGTTCTGTTTTCTCCTGTCACTCCTTTCTTCTTGCCATCTCTCTCTTTTCCTCTCCGTCTCTATCGCTCTATGTCGATCTCTCCTGGCTTGCCGCCAGCAGCAAAGCTTCAGACTGGGGTTATTTGAATGAAGATGGCGAGCTGGGCCTGGCATACCAGGGTTTAAAGCAAGTGGCCAGGTTGTCTTCTTCTGCTTTCCATCTCTACTTACTGCTTTCCTGCTTTATCCTCTCCCCCGTTCCTTTGCCTCTGGTAAAACTGCACTTCATTGTCAATATTCAATGGGACAGAAAAGGGCACAAACTGTGGGGGTTAAGATGTGAGTTAATGAGCTATGAAACCATACTTAACACAGTAAGTCTCCACACTATGGTACCAGAATGCTACAAGTTTGGGAAGGATCAGTCATCTTTAGGCGTAATGTAACCATCCCTTCTCTCCTTCTCCCTGTCTCCCCCTCTCCTCCTTTCTCCCAGGCTGTTGGAGGCCCAGCTTCAGTCTCAGGCCAGGAAACACGAGGATGAGCTGGAGGCGCTCCACACCCAGATTGAGCTGCTAAAGGACGACATAGAGAAGAAGCAGGAGATGTTAAACCACACCATGTCTCTGTCTCCTGAGGCCCAGGTGGAGTACAGCATCCAGCAGGAGATCACCCGCCTCACCAATGACAACCTGGTGAGAACACTGCAACCAGGGTGCTGATCTAGGACTCACAACCATATTATTATGATCTAAAAGGCTAAACGGAGACTCTTTGTGAATACAGGCCCATGGGCACCTGTTGGAATGGAACAGCCCAGAGCTCTGAAAGTTATAGTGTTGAGTTGATCATCTTGAATGTTTTTGCTACTATAGGACTTAAAAGAGCTTGTGGAGAAACTGGAGAAGAATGAGAGGAAGCTGAAGAAGCAGCTGAGGATCTACATGAAGAAAGTACAGGAGCTGGAAGGTGAGTGAGCCGGAGCTCCTTATAAATTCTGTAGGCTATTTATTTATTGGTCTCACTAAGCTGTAATGTAGGCCAAAGGGACATACTGTATGATGGTTAATATGATGGTTGTTGCAGTATCAGTAACCACTTTGTCCTCTGCCCTGTCAAGTGTCTGTGACTGCAGCAGCATCCCAGTCCACCACGGCCAAACCAGAGCTGACCCGTCAGGTGACTGTCCAGCGCAGAGAGAAGGACTTTGAGGGCATGCTGGAGTACTACAAGGAGGACGAGACCCTGCTGGTCAAAACGCTCATCACTGGTACGACGTGGCAGCAGAAAGTCAGCTCATCACATACACTATGACTGCATCACAAGTACAAACACCTATCAAGTCCAGAGCGTATCACAATCTTCTGAAATCCACATGACGACTACAATGATTACTGAAATAGTGGAGGAACTTGTACCAGCACATGACTCTCTGTTATAGAAATTGAATGTTATTGTAATAACTATGATATTGTAATGCAATGTTATTGTAATAACTGTTATTGTAACGTTATTGTAATGGCGATGTTATTGTGACCTTATATGTGCTGTTTGGTGTTTCCAGACATGAAGCCCCAGGCTGTATCAGCCACAGTACCCTGTCTACCTGCCTACATCCTCTTCATGTGCATCCGCCATGCGGACTACATCAACGATGACCAGAAGGTCCACTCTCTGCTCACCTCCACCATCAACGCCATTAAGAAGGTCCTCAAGGTATAGATACAGAGTTTTATTCCCCACATATAGATAGACTTCACTCACATGCTTTAATGCAGTGCACAATCTTTGGAAGTAAGTTGCGAGGAAAGCTTGGTCAGAATACAGTACAGCGATTCTGGTATTTTAACATACATTTTGCAATACTTCTGCAGAAAAACAATGATGACTTTGAGATGACCTCCTTCTGGCTGGCCAACACGAGTCGTCTGCTGCACTGTCTCAAGCAGTACAGTGGAGATGAGGTGAGACTTACTTTGATCTATCAGAGAGATCATTGTGCTCATTATAAACTGTGAAGAGTTGCTAGAAAGGGATGTTCAGTACTTTAGCTTGTTGAAATAAGAGGTAGATTGTCTGACATTTATACAATCTGATTACTCCTTGATTCTTCTCCATGCACAGTGCATTTTAAAGATGTACATACTTTTAAATACACTTGCTGTAACCTACTCTACAAATTGTAGCTCACTCTACAAATTGTAGCTCTCTACAACTCTCATTCCTGTCTTGCTGTATTCCTAGTCGTTTATGACTCAGAACACGGCCAAACAGAATGAGCACTGCTTGAAGAACTTTGACCTGGCAGAGTACCGCCAGGTGCTGAGTGACCTCTCCATTCAGATCTACCAGCAGCTCATCAAGGTGGCAGAGCACGTCATGCAGCCCATGATCGGTGAGGCGCTGGGGAATCTAGGTGTCAAGAACTGTATGGTCCAGAAGTTAGGGACAATGGACTTAGAAATGTACCAACCGATTCTTCATTCTGGGTTGATTGTACCGCTGTTTTGACATTTGAAAAAATGACTTGCATGATATTTGACTTTTATATATTTATTCCCTTATTCTACTGATTTTCCACAGCTCAATGTTATAGTTCAGTACTTAGATTTCCTAAAAGAAGAAAAGTTAATCAATTAAACCTATAGAAATGTATGAATGAATGAACAATGCATTAACAACGATCACCTTCCTTCAACTGGGTAGTGTCGGCCATGTTGGAGAGTGAGTCTATCCCCAGCCTCGCGGGAGTGAAGCCCATGGGTTACAGGAACCGCTCCTCCAGCATGGACAAGGACGAGGAGGGTCCAGGGAGCTACACCCTGGAGGCCCTGATCAGACAGCTGGGCCAGTTCCATGGGGTGATGGGCGAGCACGGGCTAGACCCAGAGATAGCAGGCCAGGTGGTCCGGCAGCTCTTCTACAGCATCAACGCTGTCACCCTCAACAACCTGTTGCTCAGGAAAGACGTCTGCTCCTGGAGCACTGGCATGCAGCTCAGGTATGTTTATATACAGTACCAGTCAAAAGTTTGAACACCCCTACTCTTTCAAGGGTTGTTCTTTATTTTTACTATTTTCTACATTGTAGAATAATAGTGAAGACATCAAAACTATGAAATAACACATATGGAATCATGTAGTAACCCAAAAAGTGTTAAACAAGACGGGATTCTTCAAATAGCCACCCTTTGCCTTGATGACAGCTTTGCACACTCTTGATATTCTCTCAACCAGCTTCACCTGGAATGCTTTTCCAACAGTCTTGAAGGAGTTCCCACATATGCTGAGCACTTGTTGGCTGTTTTTCCTTCACTCTGCCGTCCGACTCATCCCAAACCATCTCAATTGGGTTGAGGTCGGGGGATTGTGGAGGCCAGGTCATCTGATGCAGCACTCCATCACTCTCCTTCTTGGTAAAATAGCCCTTACACAGCCTGGAGGTGTGTTGGATCATTGTCCTGTTGAAAAACAAATGATAGTCCCACTAAGCCCAAACCAGATAGGATGGCAAATCGCTGCAGAATGCTGTGGTAGCCATGCTGGTTAAGTGTGCCTTGAATTCTAAATAAATCACAGTGTCACCAGCAAAGCACCCCCACACCATAACACCTCCTCCTCCATGCTTTATGGTGGGAACTACACATGCAGAGATCATCCGTTCACCCACACCGCGTCTCACAAAGACACAGAGGTTGGAACCAAAAATCTCCAATTTGGACTCCAGACCAAAGGACACATTTCCACCGGTCTAATGTCCATTGCTCGTGTTTCTTGGCCAAAGCAAGTCTCTTCTTCTTATTGGTGTCCTTCAGTAGTGGTTTCTTTGCAGCAATTCGACCGTGAAGGCCTGATCCACACAGTCCCCTCTGAACAGTTGATGTTGAGATGTCTGTGACATGAACTCTGTGAAGCATTTATTTGGGCTGCAATTTCTGAGGCTGGTAACTCTAATGAACTTATCCTCTGCAGCAGAGGTAACTCTGGGTCTTCCATTCCTGTGGCAGTCCTCATGAGAGCCAGTTTCATCATAGAGCTTGATGGTTTTTGCGACTGCACTTGAAGAAATAATATGGACTTGGTCTTTTACCAAATAGGGCTATCTTCTGTATACCCCCCCTACCTTGTCACAACACAACTGATTGGCTCAAACGCATTAAGAAGGAAAGAAATTCCACAAATTAACTTTTAAGGCGGCACACCTGTTAATTGAAATGAATTCCAGGTGACTACCTCATGAAGCTGATTGAGAGAATGCCAAGAGTGTGCAAAGCTGTCATCAAGGCAAAGGCTGGCTATTTGAAGAATCTCAAATATAAAATATATTTTGATTTGTTTAACACTTCTTTGGTTACTACATGATTCCATATGTGTTATTTCATAGTTTTGATGTCTTCACTATTATTCTACAATGTAGAAAATAGTAAAAATAAAGAAAAAACGTTGAATGAGTAGGTGTGTCCAAACTTTTGACTGAACTTTTTTACAGAACCATGCTGGGGATGTTATGTTACTAGGGATGTTATATTTTACTAGTGCCTGTTCTGTTTTTTTTAAAGACCTGACCAGGAAAAGGTCCTTAACGGTACATGCAGTATAGCTGAGAGGAGAGCAGCACTCAGTACTGTTAGAGAGAGAGAAAATAACTGTAGCTCATTACAGTAGCATAAGGGTTTGATGAAGACTCTTCACTGAAGAGGTGGGTCTATACTAAGTGTGTTTCACTGTGATTGGTCAGGTACAACATCAGTCAGATGGAGGAGTGGCTTCGGGGGAAGAACCTGCACCAGAGCGGGGCGGTGGTTAACTTGGAGCCCGTCATCCAGGCCGCCCAACTGCTTCAGGTCAAGAAGAAGACGTCCCAGGACGCCGAGGCCATCTGCTCACTGTGTACCGCTCTCACCATGCAACAGGTATACTTAAACACCTGTTACTGAAACCTGTTACACATCACCAATCCTTGAGCATCCAGCACACAGAACTCTCCTCACAACTCTGACTATGTCTCAAAGTTCACAGGAAGAGTGACATGTCTTGTCTTCATATATTAACCAGAGTCCTATTTGTCGTACAGATTGTGAAAATCCTCAACCTCTACACACCGCTCAACGAGTTTGAGGAAAGAGTCACTGTGTCCTTCATCAGAAACATCCAGGTAACAACTCTTCATCCGTTATAATGAGTGAAACTACTTCCAGTCAAATATAATCTATTTTCCGTGCCATTTATTCATGTTTTTTTTGTCTCTTGTCCTCAGAATCGTCTGCAGGAGAGGAACGATGTCCCAATGCTCCTGGTGGACACCAAGCACACCTTCCCTGTCCTGTTTCCCTATACCCCCTCCGCCCTCAGCCTGGAGACCCTGCACATCCCTGCCAACCTCAGCCTAGACTTCCTCACTCGAGTCTGAGGCTTCAGCGAGGCCTACCACAGGCCTGGTTCTTAGCAAGGAGAAGCAGAGCCCAACAGAGCTCCCTCTAACCTGGGTAGCTTTGTTGTTCTGCTAAACAGCAGAGGGCGCCAAGTCTACAGGACTCAATGGAAGGCAGAGAACCTTCCAGCTGACCAACAATGGATGCTGTCAAGCCTCTGTCTGTGTAAATCCAGCAGAATGTGTCAAGTCATTCTTTATAGCTGTCCACAACTGCTTCCTCTATTTGGCTTATTCTACAGTGGGCTATTGAGCTCTATTGAGATGCTGTGCTTAATCAGTTCTGTCCCAGACAGTCACATTTATTTTTATTCACTGTAAGGAGTCTCTATGGTAAGCCCACTGTAAATTAATTCCTCTTACAGATTAATTGAATCTGTGTAAATGTGTGCTCTCACTTCCATTGACAAGGCATTGATTCCCAGTTAGCCACTCCGCCAAGCATTCAATGTGTCCTGTTTTTTTATTTTACAGTAGGCAGTGGTCTACCGTGTCTGGCTTCCTCATGATGAGTTAATTGTACATGTGCTTCAGCCTCACTCTTCTCTAGACCCCGTCAATGGACAGCAGATCAGACTCGGGAGCAGCACTGCATTGCAGTGGCTCTGTTTGTGACTCACACTCTACACACAGCACTGTGGCTCTGCTGCTCTCTATCCTTCCTATGCCTTGAGGAATTTTGACCTGGTATCTTATATAAGAGCTGTATCTCTTCTGTGTTCAGATCAGAGCACACAGTCACACCATCTCCTATTACACTGCATGGTCCAGGAAGTCCGAAGCTCTCAACAAATCTCTCAACAGAGAGATGTGTTGTTGTTTTTACTCTAAATTCAATTCAAATGACCGCCATCTCATTGAAACAGTATAATTTCAGAATCAGGAGAAGTGAAGCCAAGCTTTATGTAACTGAGGCGTTAGTAAGTGGGATAGATCCATGTGTTAGTGAAGACTAGGGTTGAGTAGAGGGAGAGAGAGAGCACTGGGAATGGGACTGGAGGGTGTCCTGTGCAGAGTAAGGTAATAGCCATTCCAGCAGGACAGTCTTAGCCTGGTTTAAAATCTGTTTGTGCTGTCTTGCCAACTCCTGCATGGCATGACAATGACTGGCAGGAGTTGGCAAGACCGCACAAACAGATCTGGGGCCATGCTAGGTCTGCTGCAGGACAGAGGGATTAACCCTTTACACTCGTGGGAATTGGCATATATGGTTAGGGCTAAATTGGAATGTTTCTTACAGAAGGCATATGAAAACATATGCATAAGCATGGTAGCAATGGAAAGGGAACACTTTGGAGATTATGGGGAAATGATCAGACCAAAGTTGAGGACACAACAGTTCACCTGACACAAGACTGAATCCAAACATTACACTGTTGATTTGATGTGCATTTTACATTTACTGTACATTTTGCCGCATTTGTTGATAACAATCTGAAAATACTCTGAATACAGTAACATAATAATATTCCCCGGGAAATTTGGGGCAGGTGCAACATAATACAAAACAATGACAAGGGTTTGAGTGAGAGGACTAACTGGTGTCTCCAAGTGGCCACACACCTCCAAAGAGTGCAGTTTCTAAGTAATGCACTTGTATGACTCATAGAATAGTCTTCAACTATGAGGTGCTTTTTTGAGCTCTCCTAACTGTAGTTGTTTTGTTTGGAACACAACCCTGCGTCCCCGCCATCACACAATTACTGTTGTTGTTTACCCAATCCAAAAACGGCCCATTATAAATCGCAGTCTGGATCAGGTGGGCATCACTTGAAAGCTTGTTCTATTGCCAACATGACTAACTAAGTTATAAAATGAGATCTTATAGTGTTAAGCTTTCACAAGGCAATTCAGAGAAACAGATTTTGGTGCACATAGAAAGGAGTCATGAGTGCATCCAGGTGCGTGTTCAAAGCAAATGTTCAACACAATAGACAAACATAGGCTCATTCTGTTCAGAACAACCCAGGGTATGACGCCATAGTAATCATAAACGTTGACAGTGTATATGACGTGAGTTTTAGAATATGGAAATGTGAAGTGCACATTTGGACTCACGGGTGTTTGGCTTGCTTGTATGACATCAAAGCAGTATTTATTATAATTCTCAACATCTCATCTTTTAAAATACATTGAGTCCTCTTCAAATACAGCATTTCCCTCACTCAGACAACAAAACATTTGCTAAAGTTGCCAAATTACCTGGAGGGACGGGGGCAACTTCTTGTCGCGCGAGGTGCTCAAGTTCAGAACAACTGTCAGTCAAAACCCATACAGCGCTGTGAAGCGCAGAGCCAGAACTCTGATGTAATGTATAGCATGTTACTGTACAGCCACTGCATTCCAATTTAGGCGCTTATCAGTGCCCGAATCTGCCATTTTCAACCCACATACGGGTACGAGTGTAAAGGGATAAGTGGAAGTGAGAGATTGTTCATTAGTAAGTGAAAAGAGAGAAAATTAGAAGTGACATTAGATGGGAAGGAGAAGAGCCACACAGCTATCAAAGACTACTGATGACAGAGGAAGAATGGAACCTGACTTCCAATAATTACAACATTTTGATCCCAAGTAATCGAGAGTGGCATTTGTCTGATTTGTTGCGATTTCCTTGGACTGCTGTCACAGTTGTGAAGCAGAGAGTACGTGGAAGGTCAAGGTAACTTCATTATGATAATTGGATAGCACTGTATCTCAAGATAAGACTGCGAGCGTATCAGCTAAATGAATCTGAAGTAAATAATAACAGATGATGTCTGCAACTCCACTGTGTTTCCGCACCGGCTTGTGGATAGAAAACACATACTGTTGTTGGTCCTCTGTGAAGTTTTAAGCTCCTCTTCAAATCACGTTCAGAGATATCAGAGCAGCTTTTACTAGAACAAAGCATGTGTGGGAAAGGTCTCTAGGTACTAACAATGCCGGTAACGTGTACAGGAGCATCCTTGAATCACTTTGTGCTTGTATTTTGTTTGGAATATGTTAATGTGGTTTGTTTCTTTTTTTAATACTGTTGAGAGTTTATGGTGAAGGCTTTTTCGAACACTACTACTCGCTCATTTTGAGTGTCATTCCGTTTCCTCTGTATGTTTTGTAGTGTGCTTATATAACTTGATCTTCTGTCGATTTTGTTCCATTATAGCAGAGTTTCAGATGCAGGTTCCTATAACATCCTTTCTGCTGCTGTCTACTGTCAGTTATAAAGAACTTGTTATTGCTTATGTTGAGACTGGAAGTTCAGCATTTTTCCCTGCATTCCAGTGTCATAACTTACGATCATATCCATTATATCATGAGGCTATACACAGAATAACATATTTCACGGGCCACATCCCCAGAAAGGCCTTCAGTCTATGGGTCCTGTGTGCCATAACAGTTTGATACATGTATACATTGTTTGTGTTTTCTATGTCATAAGTTTCATTGATGAAATTGAACAGGAGTCAAGGCCCTGGTGTGTGATAAAAATAAAATAAAAAGTATGGATGCCAGCGTTCATACATTGATTGATATGTTGTCCTTAATTGAAGCTCTTTCTAAAGCAGTGGTCTTACTTGTCCTAAAGTGTCATCTCGATGTGGACTTTATGGAAGTGTGTTGGTTGTATGCAGATTAGTACATGTTGCACAATATGAATTTGGTGACATGGACATATTCTGCCAACATCTCATTGTGAATTATATATTTATGTATTTAAATGAAGCATTGAAATCCCACAATGATCTGGTTTTGTGTGGATGAGTAAATGCATATGACAATGTTTTGTATGGTCAGGGTGATGTACGGTTTTCCATCTTATATCTGTATAATTAGGAAACGTATTTAGTCATTGGGTGAAAATTTAAATACAGTGTATTGACTCAGTTTGAACAAAATGTAACCTCACAATCTTTCTTCAAAAAAAATGTTGTAAAATAAAAAAATGTGAATACATAGTGTTGTGAATTGTGGTTTTGATATACTACTGTTATGTTCCCCAGCAAGAAAACCAAAAAATTTCACTCAAACAGAAGGGGGAACTTACAAAGTCACTGACAACAATCAAAACAGGTGGGGTTTTAGGAGGGGTTCTGAAAGACACTTGTGGGGGTGGCAATTGAAAGTTGACTAGCAACAACAACTGTAACCATAAAGACACCCACCATGAGCGCCCACTAAATTTGCCCAAGAACAGGCAAACAAAATTATAACCCACACCAAACTTTGACAGGAAGCAAACCACAAAGGTGGAGCAAAACCAAATCAGACAAAGGAATGTTTTTCTAGAAATCAAATAGTGATCGCCAACTAAAGGTGTTGACCCTCCACATCTCTCAAGACAACAGGAGCACTGGGCCAGCCGCTCTTACGAGATGACAAACCAGCACTGGTGTAACACACTGACTAACGAGGTGACAAACCAGCACTGGTGTAACACATACTGACTAACGAGGTGACAAACCAGCACTGGTGTAACACATACTGACTAACGAGGTGACAAACCAGCACTGGTGTAACACATACGTACTAACGAGGTGACAAACCAGCACTGGTGTAACACATACGTACTAACGAGGTGACAAACCAGCACTGGTGTAACACATACTGACTAGTGTCGTAGTAAATATATTTGTTATAGATTGGTCTGACTAAAATCTTGTGCATGACCCATTTTGTGTTGGGCGTTTGTTTTCAATCAATGCTGTTCCTATGCAAGAACAATGGACAGAGAACCATATCTTGTCAAGGACAACACCCACGCCACAGGCCACAATCACTGGTTGCTCCCCTCGAGTCTTCCCTTGAGAACACACACACACACACACACACACACATCATCACTGTTAACACACACACACACACACACACACACATCATCACTGTTAACACACACACACACACACACACAAAATCCCCTCTTTTAGGCTGAACATTTGAAGACAGAGAACTCTACTCAGAGCCAATGCAACAGTGACACTAGCCTGGAGGGGACCTCGCCCAACTCATCAGGACCAATCAGAAGATCAGAACTACTAGATTCAACCTACATCATTTATTGCATAAAATGTCTGCACACAATGTTTCGGGGCTCTCTTCAGATAGCTCCCTAAGAGTTTGACGAACGAGTCCGTGCACGCGATTCCAGATATCTTTACCTCTGAATAAACTGCCTTTATTATACCATATCCACCCTGTCCAAAGTCTCTACTTGGTCTCAGTTCTCCAGTAAACTTGTGATTATCAACAAAATTGGTAGCAGAGGATGGTTTTCTAACTCTGAATTCGGTCCATAAAAGTTGATAGAGAAAAGAGACAAGTAAGAGACGGATCAGAAAGGACGGGTGACCTGTTCGCAGGAGCAGCCGGGAATCCAGCTCGCCTCAGGAAACTGATCTAGACGGCCGTCAATACAAAGGTAAGCAGAACCTGTTAAAACAAAATCTGCATATTGTATTATAGGATAAACCAAAATTAAGATCAGTAGTACTGAGCGTGAGTATGGATTACTGTTAAATTTATAACATATCTATTATGACTCAAAAGGCACATATGTAAAGATATCTGAAATCTTAGGCTTTTTACTGTTGAAATGTGACTCTCTAGAGAGGAGTCTAGTTACAGTGGTTCACAAGAGAAGGACCGACTTTTATTTTCTGTTGAATTGTGACTCTCTAGTGAGGAGTCTATTTACAGAGGTTTTGGTTCACAAGAGATGGACCCTTTTATTTGATCCACAAGAGAAGGATCTGGTGGCTTGATAAAAAGATTCAGATAGTCGGGTTGAGTTAATTCCGTGAGAATCCAAGTCCAGAAAAGGTTCTCCCGACTAGACACCAGTTGAATGGTTAAAACGATTGGGAGTCTTAGTTGAGGAGAATCAATAAAATAAAATAAAAATACAAGTTCAGATAGTCGGGCAATGGTTGACTTGGCACTCAACTAGATGTACTGTGAAGAACTCAAACTGAATTCATGTGTTGATGCTGATATGTAATGCAAAATGTAAATGTTGAAATGTTAACCT